CCCCCCCCCCCCCTTCCCCATACGCAAACACCGGCCCAATCACTATATTCGGCACCATAACATCCTTAACCTGCATCTAGATAAACCCCAGCAGAAACACCGAGTACGCAAACGCAAACAGGCCCAGTGGGGTGGGGTTTGCGACTTTGCGGTCCTTCACTGGCTTGTAGAGACCTGGTTGGAACTCGCCACCGAAGGCTGGGAGATGGGGATAGTAGGGAATTGAGATGGTGTGCAGGCAGATATTCTATTGGGATTTTGATTGTACAATTGAGACAAAAGAGGACTTCAATACCAGCCTAGGAACCCTCTATATATAACCCCAAACACACCACACTACAGCATACGAAGTACAGAATCAGACAAGCAAAAAGTACACACCCGCACCCTGAACCAAACAGGCATGAACACGCGCAATTGAGTTTGCTAAAACATCATCCTAACACTGCAGACGTACACTACCTTGGCGCACCGAAGATCTTCCATCCCCACAAAGCCAAAGCAGCGGGACTCATGGGGTAAAAAGCGGGGGACAATACGTATATAGTGCAGATCTGCAGTTGTTTTAAGGGCTAGGACTATCTGATGGGCGTATGTTAAAGTAGATCATTGGATTAGGGTAACGGAAGTAGACTGCCGATTCGGAAGTGCATGTGATTCGCTCGCTGGGGAAGTCGGGTTTGGGGTTGCTGATAGGGTTATATTACAAGTTATCTCTTATTGCAACGAGGTAGGTTTGTATGGGAATATCAAGATACAGGTGGGTGATATCTGATGTGTACCTAGGCCTCTCAGTACCCTCACCAAAGCAACGGCTAGCGGCAAAGCTAGCGGCAAATTGAGAAGTTACAGCACCAATGGATCCGCTGGCTACTGTTCTTACTTTGAGTAAACACAGTACCCTGTACCCAAACGTGATGGTACTACTCATTTAGGCATAGAGTAAGTTACACAATACTACTACCAAGAGCCAGCAGCACACACGATTGGATGCACGAGTACGCCCAAAAGCAATCTGATTTCTATCAAGTGTGCTGACACAGAATATCATGCATGTTAACTACTGGTGAAGGCGATTATGCAACTTTAATCACTCGCTACGCGAGCGAGGCAAAAAAACATACAACAGCCGGGATTCGCTGGTGGTCACCCACCCAACTACTAACCGGCCGGCGTGTGGCTTAAGTACGGCTGAGCGGACGGGAAGCCCTGTTCTCCACACCCTATGGTCGTATGTGCCAATTTTATACCTAGAAAGGAATGTATAGTATGATTTCCAAGTAAGACGCGAATGTACACGAGGAAGCGCCTAATCCATACCACCATGGAGACCAGAGAATCATGCACACGAGAAAAGAACATCATTCGTGTCGCTTCTTATAATCGCCGAGATTTTGACTTCGCGGTCGCCAGAATCAATCCACATGAGCACGAGCGTACCCACGATTCTGTCCTCCAGCCCGCTCGCTCCCCTTCATCCACCCTTGGATGTCTTGAAAATCTATCCCTTGAGTTACTCCCTGAAATATGCCGGCTCCTGGATCTCAAATCACTGTTCAAATTTCGCCAAATCAGCATGCGTGCCCAAGAAATAGTTTGTGGAATCCGCATCTATCGAATAAGCATGGCTTATGCCCTCGAAGCCGTCTGTGCTATTATCAGGACAAACATCGCGTCATGGTTTACTTTATGTGATTTATTCGGTGTATTATGCTCGCGGGACTGTATTCTCTAGAGCAGCCGGTCGAACCCGGCGACCTGATCTTCCTATGGGCTTCCCGTCAAGCCGAGATGCTCTTTATCAAGTCAACCAGTGACAGCGACGAGAACACTGCAACAGCATCAATTAAAATAAAACCTATTACCTGGCGAGTCTAATTGACGAGGGATACTGGACTTTGAATGGTCCGGATGTCAGCTACTGGGAGGAAAAAGAGGGCTACGAGCCAGAGCATACGGAGAAAGACAAATACACGCTCTACGATGAGGACAATTATGGTATTTTCCAGGAAGTTGAGCTGAGCGAGTTTCTGTATGACTTTAACCCTGTCGGGGCGGAAGAGACTGGGAAGGGTGCGGATACGAAAATTATGGTGAATCCACATGGACGGTGAGTATAGTTTGCTTGGTACTTGTACTAATCCGGATAATATAGAGATGTCCTGAAGTACCACTACAGCGGACAATGCTCAGAATGCTACGGAAAAGCCTGAGGCTGCCGGGGCTATCGTGGTTTCATTGATCGATTCCCAGAACTCACTGGTGACTGTGGAAATCACATGGCATGCCCCTACTGCATGGGATACGACTTTGCATATAATGAGTGGGTAATCTTCAGATCTCAAGATCATTTGTTCTCAAGAGCCGGCCACATTAAAGCGTCGAGGCCATCATCCGAGGGAGAGGCACAGGAGCTGGAAGAGAGGTACCAATCGATTAAAAACGAATATTTCGAACTGTGTAGGGAGAGGTATGAGCTTATCAATGCGCGGAAGAAGAAAATGGGTTATCCGCTTGATGATGTGGATGAACTGATGGAGGAAGATGGAAGATTTTTGACTAGACTTTTGCAAATGCAGAGCATACTACGGGTAAATGCGTGTCATAGCTGATGTCTTTAAAACATATCTTCAATGGAGTTGTGGCTTTCGTTCTATCAAACCTGCTGAGCTCTTGCTAGATGTAAGGCACATCGATTGGTATTGTATGAAACTAAATTCAAGTACTCATATATCCATTTGCACACCAATTTAACTCCCCAAAGTAGACAATCTAACTACCTTCAGAGAAGAACGGATGATTCACCTTCCTCCTCCAAATCTTCCTATTAGACGTCTTCGGAGCAGTCTCGCCATCCCTCAACACCCGGATCACAGTCGGAGCCGTATGCGGCGCGATGATAGCAGCGACATCTGTCCGTAGACGCTCCGAGAGCGCATCCTCCGTTTTGTCGCTGGATTTGTTGAACCGGACCAACATGCCTAGTTTACTGGCACCCTCGAGAGGGATACCGTACGCTTCGGAGAGGTATGGCTTTGAGACTAGTTGCAAGTCTAGGTTTACCATGGAGACCATGCCAGTGTCGAGTTCGAGAACTTTGTATGTGTTAGTTACTGCTGGGACAAACTGAATGGAGAATGAAAATTTACAATCAGTGCCCAATCGGCCGTCAAATACATATTGGTCACCTTCTCGATGGGCTGCGTCGCCGGTTTTGAAAAAGCCTTCTTCGTCGAAAGCGGCCTTAGTGGCGGCGGGGTTGTCCAGGTAGCTGGGTGGTCAGTTTATTTTTTATGGCGTCGAATGGATGAGGCCATAACATACTGAGAGAAGATATACGGTGTCTTGATACGGATCTCACCGTGATCTCCATTGGCGAGTTTTACTGTAATGCCCGGAAGAGGTTTCCCAAGGCAGCGCTGGAAGTCATTAGCAATCTGATGACCATTCTTATCAAGACTGGAACAAATACCTTGATATGATCAGTGCCAGGTGTAGTCAACATAGATATCACACCCAGCTCTGTAGCCACATAACCGATCTGAATATCACGATCAAAAGTCTTCTTCCAAAAAGGAAGCAACCATGCCGGCGGTGAAGCACTCGCAAGAAAAGGTCGTTGAATTGCTTGAGCACCCCTTACATACTCCTCCCTCTCCCCAGCCGGAAGCTTATCAAGATGCTCCAAAAAGTATTTCCCCATCTCACCCCAGGTATGCGCAACTCCAGCAAAGCTGGTTATCCTGTTTTGCCGTAGATGCTCCCAGATAACAGCCGGCCCTGGGTACGTAGGGAGGATGTCACACTGAGACGCGGTCACGATGCGAACCAGGAGATTGACGTGGGCGCTGATCCAGTTCATGGTCTCGTAGACCAAGAGACGGTCATTTGGAGAAGTGGGAGGGAACTTCAGGTTGATGAGGCGGCGCGTCTGGACCACGCTTTTCGGTGAAGTGGCGGTGCCGCTGGTGTGGACGAGCAGACTGGGCCGGTGCTCCGGGATGACTTGGTCTTCCTTGATGGATAGGTTGAGGGCTGCCAGGTCAGCCGGGGCTGGCTGCTTGATTTTCACTGGGACGATCCCGAGGGCATGGTCCCGGCTCGCTGCCGACGCTTTGATCCCAGCTGTGAGCGGGAGTTGTTGCGCTCCGAGCACGACGGCACTTGCCTGGAATTTCTGCAGCATGCGTGATATGCTTTCCGGGTCGAATTCGGGGCCTGGTGAAATTCAATCAGTTACCTTTCTCTTTCGATATTGGGATTTTACCACTCACGCAAAGGTGCTATTATAGCTCCCCCCAGCGCCAAAATGGCCAAGGCCGCAACATAAAACTCGTAATTCGGCGTAGTATGCAGCCCAATGTACGATCTACTCTCAAGCAACAGACCCTGTTCATCAAACAAAGAGTCCGGGATACTTTCTCGCAAAGCGTCCCGAGTACTCAGGACATCCGTGAGCAGCTGAGTGTAGCCCACGTTGATGCCCAAAGTGGTATCGTTGATGATGGGCCAGGGGGTGGACTTGGCTCGGTTCAGGATGTTCACGAAGAAGGCTTCATTGGGAATGGTGTTGGATGTCATTTTGATAGTGGGTGTATGAGCAGTGCAGTTGCTCACGAGTAGTGTTTATCTAGGGGTTCAATACTATGAATAGCACATGGTTTATATGGTACTGGTATACTCCGTATTTCGTACTGAAGTACTTTCGGTCCATACCGTACCGTATTGTACTGCGGCTGAAGAGGTGGCTTGCTGAATTGTGGGGACTGAAAATAAGATCTGCAAACACGGGCCATAATCGGTCCCACTTCGTGGGGACATCGGTAGCTGGCTAGCTCGGTCGATTAAGTTATTATATTATAAGTACCGGTACATATTGTAATATACTGTAATTAACTGGAAGTAATGTACAGCTCAATTACCATGAATGATCCTTTCCAGCTCCTCTCGCTCGCCATTCTCCTCTACCAATCTGCGAAAAACACCATTGGGGACCTTCATCAATTCCCGCGGTGCCCCGAACTCGACCGCCCGCCCGGCATCAAGCACAAGAATGCGATCGAAATCAGCAATCGTGCTGATACGATGGGCGATCACCAACAAGGTAGAATGACGCCCGAACTCGGACCGAACAGACTGCTGCAGGAGCTCGTCGGTATCCTTGTCGACTGCAGACGTGGCTTCGTCTAGAATCATGATCTTTGGTCGTGATACGATTGCCCGCGCCAAGCAAAGAAGTTGTCGCTGGCCCTGGGATAGGTTCTGGCCGCCCTCGGATATGGGGATATCCAGTGATCGGGCTTTTTCGGTCTGGGCCGAACCACCCCAGTGAACTCGTTCCAGAGCGCTCGCGAGCTGCAGGTCGTCATATTCGCCGAATGGATCGAGGTTGGACCGCACTGTACCCGAGAAAAGGACAGGATCTTGAGGGATGATGGCCAGTCGACTGCGGAGATGATGCAGCTTGATCTTCGAGACATCAATTCCATCCACGTAGATTTGACCCTGACGGATATCGAGGAAGCGAAACAATGTCAACGCCAATGATGACTTTCCAGCACCGGTTCTTCCAACCACACCCACGCGCTGGTTCTCTTCGACCTGGAAGTTCAACCCCTGCAGCACGGGCGGTAGGTCAGGCGCATAGCCGACAACAAGATCAGACACCTCGAGACAGCCTCGCGTAGGCCATGCGGCAGGAGGATCGATCCCGGTGTCTTCCTCAGTCTCGACCTCGGTGTATTCCTGTATGCGCTCGACGCTGTTCAGCGACAATTCCATGGTTGAATAGATTTGGGTCGCGCGGGACATGATGGCCGTGTATCGCAGCGCAAAGCTGATGGCAAAACCAGCCACAGACGCGGTGGTTCCCTTGGCTGCAATGGCCAAGAAAGCTGTGGTGGTTGTGAAAATGGCGCCCATCAGGTTCATCCTGTATGCGAGCCAGCGGTTAAGGAGCCAGGTATGCCAATAGGCGCGTGCGTGGCCATCGATGATGCCGTGCATGCGGTTAATGTAGATGGGTTGTTTTCCGAAAGCCCGGATCGTGTCGAGGCCATTGAGCACGGAGTCAAATTGCACGAAGATGGGACTCTTTGCTGTACTTTCTAGTCGTTTGGTCTCGCGAGCCGCTGTCAGATACTTGCGCGCGAAGAAGAGTGACATTAGGAGGATCGCCGTGGTGAAGAGACCTAGCACGGGGTTGACCAGGACTCCGGCCAGAACAGTGGATATTATTTCGATTGCGTTGAAAATAGTATTTCCCAACACTCCACCCATTGCTGAGTCAATCGTATTGAAGTCCGATGTGAAGCGATTAATGACGCGTCCGAGAGGAACTGTATCCAGCCAGCGCATCGGGGCCCTGAGGACATTGCGGAGAAGATGCCGGAACAGGTTGCGCGAGGACCGGAGACACACGGCAAAAACGAAGAGAGTCCGGATAGCACCTATGACGCAAGCCAGCACGGACATGCCGACGTAGACGCTGATGTAAAAGGATAGATCGTAGTCCTTCTGAGCCGTAACCGTCAACTGATGAACGGCATGATGCATGACGGACATAGTCCGCTCAGGCACGGAATCCTGACTGCTCCAGACGTTGAGCCACCATGCCTGTTACTGTTAGCATAGATGATCAGCCCAGCAGAAAAGGGGCGGGCTCTTACCCGGGCCATGGTCAAGGAACTGTATCCCAAGTAGAGAAACAGGACCAAGAACCAAAGTGAGAAGCTGTCGCTGTGCGTGATATAGCCCTTGTATACACCCCATTTAATAGAGCCTGTCTCTTTTCCTTCGTCCTTGACGAACTTCTGTGCCGGCTTAGACTTGTTTTCTGGTTGTGGGCGTGGCGGTGGCTGCACGAGTGCCTCGTCTCTATCCGGAATGTCCGTGGCTTTCACGAGAAGGTCGGTATCTGGCGACTGTATTGACGGGATTTCTCCCTCCACATCCCGTGCCGGACCGGCATAAGACACGCTACCCTTATCCAAATGAATCGCATAATCCGTCCTCGACAAACAAAGCGCCGTATGGTGCGTAATAAGGACACGGGTTCTCCCCCACGCAAGCTCCCCAGTAAGCGCATGCTCAAACAGATGACGACTAGTATGCGCATCTACCGCACTGAACACATCATCCATGAGCAAAATGCCAGCACGCGAGTACAGCGCCCGTGCCAGAGTAATACGCCATTTCTGACCACCGCTAAGATTCACGCCCCGGGCACCAATCTCAGTGGAATCGCCGTCGGCAAATGAGGCAAGGTCGGGCTCGAGTGCACAGACAAAAAGGACCTTCTCATATCGTTCCGAGTCAAACGGCAGACCGAAGATAATGTTGTCTTTGATGGTCGCGTTTTCGATCCAGGGGACTTGGCTCACGTAGGCCATAGCCGAGTCGATGATCCATTGGTTTCCGTTGATGCGTTCGTTGAAGGTTGGCCGGGGGGGTGCCTTGATAGTTCCGCTTAGGACTTCGCATTCGCCAACAATTGACGCGAGCAACAGACTCTTTCCTGAGCCTGTTGGGCCGGAGATGACGCTCAGGCCACCTTTGGGGAAGTCCAGGTTGAGATTGTGAAGGTGGAAACCGTGGTTCTCGATGCTGGCTGCGGAGTCGTGCGATGGCCATGATATCGATGTATTCGAGAAGGCAATACTATCCGCTGGAACGCTGTTGGGAACGCTCTCTGGGGCATTGAGGAATTCCTCAACACGTCCCAGACTGACTAGAGAGTTCATCAGTGCCGCAACACTTGCCGGAAGGGACGTGAGGGCAACCTCGATCGATCCAAACATTGAAACAGACGTGAACGCAACAGAGGCCGTCAGCCCCCCGTTGATAATAGCATACACAGACAAAGAAGCAGCGGACAGCATTACAGGACCGACAATATACATGGCAAAGAGAGCTGTTTGCCAAAGACAAGCCGCCCACTGGGACTGCAGCTCAGAGTCCCGGAAGCCATTGATCTTGTCTTCCCACCGAGACTCCAGCGCTGCGAACTTGATCTGCCGGATACCCTGAAGTGCTTCGAGGATGACGGATATTTTGCTATCACGGGTTCCCATAATGCGTCCTTGAGATCTTGAATACCGTTTTGCCGCCATTCCGTTGAGTGGCATGAGAACTAGGAGCACGCCCAGCCCAGCCAGAAGACCTTGCCAGCCTACCAGCTGGGCTAGTAGGGTGCACGCAATTGCCAGCTGCAAGGGACACTGGTAGAGAAGATAGCTTTGAGATGCGAAATCGGCGATGCGCCAAGTGTCGACTGCAATCAGGTTGATTGTACTCTGGTGTGTTTTACCTGAGGCCGAACTGCTGCCATCTTTCTTTGGCTTGGTCGCTAGTGGCTCACCCTCGGGTGCCTGAATTTGTGCAGGCTGTGTCACATCCTTCCGACGGACAGCTTTGTCGAAGATCACCGTAGCTAACTGCTCAGTAATCTTGATGTTGAGGCCGCCATACGAGATCCAGACAAGCCAAGTGTTCACAGTCGAAGAAAGTACCATGGCGAGACCTAATACAAACACCCAAAGCCAAGCCCTGGTTGACCGATCAGGATCGTGCAGTGGCATTTCCAGTGACTGCAAGGTTCGCAAGAGCGCGATTTGCGGGATGAAGCTCAGAATGGACAAAATCACGGCCAACACAAACTGAAGGACAATCTCGGAGCGATAACAGCGAGTCAATGTTTTCAACAATTTCCCTGAATTCTTATTGCTGGCGTCACTTGTCTGTTGTTCTGCAAAGGATACCTGCAAGGTTTCGGACCGGGTCTTGTGATCCAGTTCTGGTAGGTCGTCAACTCGAACATCTCGTTTCCGAGCAGCCAAACTCAGCAATGGCTCTACCCAGCTAAAGGTCAGTCGATCAAGGGCTGAAACGGTAAATTGTCGGTCCACAATGGTACCATTCCGCAGAACATCTGGACGTCGCGGGAGGAGCAGAGCCGAGCAGGCCACAAGCAGGGCAAGAACGACATCGACTGCAGACAAAATTAACTGCGCTGTTTTCCATGTCTGTAATTCATACCGGGCGTGATGCATCTCGACGAGGAACATGACCAACCAGACGACCGTCGCAACGGCCATATGGCAGCCCAGACGAAACCGGGTAGTGCACACAGGCTCGGTTAGAAGAGCACCACATTGCGCCAAGAGAATGAGCTGCTCATTGTTAGTTCAAGATGCAATGCAGTTTGATTTAAATTCTCACCCAAGTTCCGAATTGCAGCCATTGTTCGACCAGGACAGGGGACGCTGGTTCATCGGCTGTCAGCACGGCCCGAGACAGCGCTACCATGGCTCCGACCAGGGTTAACACCGCACAAGCAGTGCGCGGAAACCGGTCGGAGAATTCAACCATGGTCTCCTCGCTTGCCGGACCATCTTGATCCTGATACAGATGCAGTCCCTGAGAAAGACCGCTGGATTTCGGCCTGATCTGACGGATCGCACTTTTCAGAGCTGGCCCGCTGCCAATGGCGGCTACGACCAGTCCGGCCGTATGCACAGCCAGTGACAAGGCCTTGGGGCTTAACATAACTGTGTTTGAAGTATGGAGGGAAAAAGCAGCGTCCGATTATGATAAAAGTCCAGGTTTGTTTACGTAATGGGGATGGATTCGTAAAACACTGAAATACACACCGATACGGGTCACCGCCGGTAAATACCGTACCATACTGCGGCTGACCAGTGTGGGACCGGTTCCAAGGAATTGACCGCTCACAGCAGCCCTAATAATCGATCGGCTCCAATATCGGCGATGTTATTTTTCTTTACTTTCCCTCCCACCCCCTCCTCTCCTGCCGTCCCATACACCTGCTCAGAATCATGGCCCTTTCCTATTCCCAGGCCTTGATTGCGGTCATCCTAGCCGCCGTCCTCAACTACTTCGTCGGGCAGGTTCTACAATGGTGGCGCCTCAAGACCCTCACCTCCCAAAGTTCCTGCGCCAAACCATCAACAACCCAAACCCGCTGGCCAGCCGGTTTGGGCCGCTTAATTCGAATTCTAGGCATCCGTGGTGATGTCCTCGAGAACTGGCTGGGAGCTGATTTCCGCTCTCACGGTTTCTGGACTTTCGCGATTGAAGCGCCTCTAGTGCCCACCGCGAGTATCTTCACGGCTGAGCCTGCTAACGTGCAATGTATGCTGTCGAAGAATTTTGGACATTGGGGATTGGGTCCTGCGCGAGCGAAGAAGTTCGGGCCGTTTTTGGGCGTCGGTGTTTTTACGGCTGATGGGGATATTTGGGCAAGGTCGCGCGCGGTTGTGAGGCCTGCTTTTCAGCGGAAGCAGGTTAGTGATTTGAGTGCTACGGAGCTGCATGTGTCGAGGTTGTTGGGTCGTTTGGGGGACCAGCCTGGGGATGATGGTTGGACATCGCCGAGGAACGTTATGCCGTACATTTACCGATTCACTTTGGATAACGCGACGCAATTTCTGTTTGGAGAAAGTGTCGAGAGTCAGCTGCAAAGCGATGTGGGCGAGAAAGAAGCTTCTGAGACACAGGCCTTCGAGGAGGCATTCCACACGGCTACTACAGGCGTCGGACTGAAGATGTTTATCGGACCGTTCTACTGGATCGTGGATTGCCGGTCAGCCTTCCGCCGCGCATGTCGCCTATGTAAAGAGTACACAGTGCGCTTCGTTGACCAGGCCCTAGCCGTCCACGCAGAAACCAAGAAGGAAGAGAAGGAAGCATCAGAGCCAGTCGACGACGAAAAGCACAGCCCGGAAAAGAACAAGGGGATCTTCCTCCGCACACTCGTTGAAGCAACCCAAGACCGCACCGAACTCCGCGACCAGCTCATGCAACTCCTCTTCGCCGGTCGCGACACCACCGCCACCCTACTCTCCTGGTCGCTACTTTGCTTCGCGCACACGCCCGGTGCATGGGATCGTCTTCGCACTGAGATCCTGACCATGTTCGGACCCGGTGGTGACGAAGGCGACGAGCTGATTTCCTTCGAAAGTCTCAAGGGATGCACATATCTACAGAGTTCGCTGCGCGAGACGCTGCGCATGTTCCCGCCCATTGGTGTCAATGGCAAGCAGGCGCTGTGTGATACCGTACTCCCGACTGGCGGAGGCGCGGACGGTTCGCAGCCTATTGCGGTCGCCAAGGGCACGCCTGTGCTGTTTACGACGTATATCATGCACCGACGGCCGGATCTTTGGGGTGATGATGCTCATGAGTGGAAGCCCGATCGGTGGTCTTCTGGATTGCGGCCTGGTTGGAGCTATATTCCGTTCAACGGAGGTCCGCGACACTGCCCTGGAGGTACGTTCTACTTTACTTCATTGCAGCTAGTCTGAAGAGTGCTGACCAAAATACCAGAGCAATTCGCCTTGACGCAAGCCGCATACACTCTGATGCGTCTGGCCCGGACATTTGACAGAATTGAGAACCCAGACGTCGGTGATGTGTTCGAAAAGGGTGTGGGGCTAATCATCCAACCCAAGAAGGTCAATTTGCGATTCCATCGGGCAGATGTGGTGTGAAAAATGTACTCCGTAATTACATAGTTCTGGTAGGAATGATGAACTGGCGGAATTGGGCCGAGATCAACACACCTTTCCACTGTAATGGTAACTTTTAATACCGGCGCATCTCGGTAAGCACTTGTCACTTACCAGTCCTTGACCGATTCCAAATCCCACCCCTCATGTGGCTGTTTGTGTACAGCTGAAAGGTGGACCGCCATATGGACCGCGCGCTGACTCGTAGATTTACTTGGACCCAGCTCAGCTGTGATGTGATGCCAATGTTCGCTTGCATTATATTATGTGTAAACACCCTGCCAGCCATTTCTGCCAGCTGTACTATGACGAGAATATGTTGGAAATCTCAGCGTCGTGAAAATTCCATTGCCGACAGCTCCACAGTTCAGCCCTTGTAACTAAGCTCTACTCCGTACGGAGGTGTATTTGTAAATTATGTACACCAGCAGACTTAGACAGAGCTAGACGGGAAAAACCTCTGAACCTCCTTATCATCTAGCGCGGTTTTCATAGTCCATGTCTGGCGAACATCCTCCCCATCATGCAAAATCCGAAGCACGGTCGGTAAGTGAGTTTCCGGCAGCTTGCCAGAGAGATCTTGGCGCACGGTGTTCAAAGCCTTCGATTCATTCTTGGGAACCTTTTCCGGCTGGAAACGGACCAAGGCCGCGACTTGGTGCGTGGTTCCTCCCCACAGCGCCAAGACATGCCCTTGTTCCACGTACGGTAGCTCAAGTAGCTGGTCTTCTATGCTCTTGAGTAGCACTGGGTGGCCCTCAAACCAGATCCCTATGGCAGTCAGAATTCGTCCGGAAAAGTTGGAAGTGGGGGAAGACTTACAGCCTGATTTTGCTCGTCCATCCCAGACGTAGCTATCACCATCACGATGGAAGACATCGTTGGTACAATAGAATCCCTCCTCATCGAAGATATCCTGGTCTTGTTTCTCCTTGCCCATATACCCGAGCATGAGAGTACTATTTTTCACCCACAATTCTCCACGATCTCCTTCAGTTAGCTTTATGGTGACATAAGGTGCCGGTTTTCCAACATTTGCCTGCAATCAAAATCAGTACCTGCATGCCTACTGAGACATGAACAGAGACTCACCTCCGGACGGCCAGATTCCTCATCCGAAGACAGGAAGATCACCCCCGACTCCGTGGTACCAAACGTAACTAACAGAGACTTCCCAAGCAACTCCTTCCAGAAACGCTTTAACAAAGGCGGAGGCATTGCTGCCGCAGATTGAGGTGCTCGCAAATGCCGCACACCCTGGACATATTCCTGCGCCTGATTCTGCGGCAACTGGCAGATCACCTTTTGGTAATAGACCATCATGTCCCACCACATTCTGGTAATGAGGCAGACAGTCGTAACGTCTCCTTCTTTCAACCGATTCCAGAGCAGCTCTGGTCTGGTTGCAAAATGGTACATTTCTATGCGTGTGCCACGGAGAAGACCGCTGAAAGCCTGATGGAAGCCGCTCGTGAAGGACACCAGTTCTGCCACACACAGATGCACCTCACCCTTTCCGACACGAGGAGGAAGTCGTGTCAGAGAGTACAGATAGCGACGGGCATGAATGACCGCTTTAGGAGCGCCGGTAGAGCCTGAGGTGAAGAGTAACAACCCCGGACGTTCATTGTCAAATTTCAACCCGGGTTGGATCGTGGCGGTTGGAGTCTCAAGTTGTTCCTGCGATGCGCTCCATTTACTCAGAAAGAGAGTCTGGATGGGCTGGGATTCATTAATACGGGAATGCTCTTGTATCTCAGCTGCCGCATTTTCACTCTCAGGTCCGACCAGGACAACAGAAGCACCGCACAGATTGATATATCCGAGCGTCTCTTCTGTCGATATGCCGGGTGCTATATTTTATCAGCATGTGCACTAGGATTCAGGGAAATTGTATAACTAACGCAATGGTGCAATTGCCGCACCAAGAGCAGCGATTGCAAAAACAGCCACTATATATTCATGGCTGGCCGTTGCCAAAAGGCCAATGTACACGCCATCTCTAGCAACCATTCCATTCTCATCTATGACATCTGGAGAAAGAGCATCACGAATTTTTTGTCGAAATACCAAAATATCACGGAGCAAGGTGGGAAAATCCACCTGAACTCCCCGGAGCCGATCGTTCAGAATTGGTTCGTGGCATTGAGATGCAATCCAGAGGAGCCGCACAAATAGCGGATCATCTGGAAGATAGCCATGCTCTAAGGTCGACATTTTTGATTCCGGTGCAACTGCAGCTTCGAGGATACCGAGTCGAGAGCGAATTGGGCTGAGAGTTAGTCCTCTCGACCTTAGATTACTTAATTTGAAATAAAATTCCACGCCAGTATTGACACTAATACCGGTATTACGGGTATTACCACAAACATGATCAACCCCAATTTTCCAATCAGGATAGTATATGATTCAGCTCGAGATCCAGCTAGCCACGAAACTCTATCCATAGAGCTAGTGTTTGCGACGCATCCAGATGGGGCCCATCTGGCGGCGGAGAAGAGCTGCTAAAATTCAGACGATCAATTGCACGTAGCTGAGAGCTGAGAGCTGAGCATGAAATGCCCCAGTATTCAGCTAACATTGCCGTCTTTCATTTCATACTCCGTACTCCATATCAATTCCCTTACCTTTCCCATTTGTATAACACATTGGCTTGTCTGCTGCCTCTACCTCCCTCCCTCCCTCCCTCCCTCTCTCCTTCTCTCTTCCTCCTCCCATTTCAGTAGAAGCGATAAAAAAAAATGCCGGAACCAATTGCCATTGTTGGTACCGGTTGCCGGTTCCCTGGGGCCGCATCTTCGCCGACTCGACTCTGGTCTCTCCTCTCCAACCCGCAAGATGTCGCATCGAAGATTCCGAAAGGCAGATTCAATGTCGATGCGTACTACCACCCCGACGGCCCCCATGGCGGCACCTCCAACGTTCAAGAATCCTACTTCCTCCAAGAAGACGTTCGCGCCTTTGATGCGCCCTTTTTCAACATCTCAGCAGCCGAAGCGGAAAGCATGGATCCGCAACAGCGACTCGTCCTCGAAACCGTCTATGAATCGCTCGAAGCGGGCGGTCTCCGTCTCTCAGACCTGCGGGGGTCCTCGACAGGCGTATACTGCGGGCAGATGTGCGACGATTACAGCCAAGTTTTGGCCCGGGATACCGAGAATCTACCACGATACACATCCACTGGAATGGCGCGAAACAATGCCTCCAATCGGGTGTCGTACTTTTTCGACTGGCACGGTCCGTCCATGACGATCGATACCGCTTGCTCTTCGTCCCTTGTCGCCGTTCATCTGGCTGTGAATGCCTTGAGGGCTGGGGACTGTAACGTCGCCGTCGCTGCCGGCACAAACCTCATTCTTTCTCCGATTTTCTATATCTCCGCCTCCAACCTTACCATGCTCTCCCCGACTGGACGATCCCGCATGTGGGATGAAAAAGCAGATGGCTATGCCCGCGGTGAGGGTGTAGCATCGCTTGCTTTGAAGCGTCTGAGCGACGCCATTCGCGATGGTGACCCAATTGAATGCGTGATTCGTGAATCGAATGTGAACCAAGACGGCCGCAGTATGGGTATCACGATGCCGTCGAGTGAAGCGCAGGCGCAGTTGATTCGGTCCACGTACGCGAAGGCCGGTCTCCAGCTCGAACTACCACGAGATCGATGCCAGTACTTCGAGGCGCACGGCACGGGTACGCAAGCAGGCGATCCGCAAGAGGCGGGTGCTATCGCAAACTGTTTCTCCGCGGACCGTTCCGACTCGGGATACTCTAGCTCCAATTCATCACAAACATCTGAGGACCAGAAGCTATATGTTGGGTCTATTAAAACAATCCTTGGTCATACCGAGGGAACGGCGGGTCTGGCCGGTGTTATCAAGGCGTCGCTCTGCATGCAAAATGACACCCTCGTTCCTAACCTCCACTTCAACAACCTCAACCCCAAGGTTGAACCATTCTACTCCAATCTCGAAATTCCCACAAAGGCTCTTCCCTGGCCCGAACGACCAGAAGGTGTCCCGAAGCGCGCATCAGTGAACTCCTTTGGTTTTGGAGGTACAAACGCCCACGTTATTCTCGAAGGCTATGAGCCAGAACAACCACCAGCGACGAATGAGACATTGCCTTCTATCCTCCCATTTGCCTTTTCCGCCATCTCTGAGCGGACCCTTGGTGCCACGCTAAGTGCGTACGCGGAATACCTCGAATCTCACCCTGAAATCGACCTCGTCGATGTGGCGTGGTCGCTTCTGGCTCGACGAGAGCAATTAACCCACCGTGTGACTCTCTGGGCCTCGTCGGCAGACGCGCTAAAATCCGAGATTGCAGCAGAACTCCAGCGCAGACAGGCGAAGAACCCTTCAACCAAGGTCGTCCGGTCATCATCCTCGAGCCCCAAGAGCATTCTGGGTGTTTTCACCGGTCAGGGTGCGCAGTGGCCGCAGATGGGTCTGGATCTCATCACCGTCTGTCCCGCAGCCAAGAACTGGCTTGCAGATTTGCAGAAGGCTCTCGATACCTTACCCGAAGAGTGCCGGCCGGAGACCACATTGTTCGACGAGCTCTCAGCGGCCAAGGAGACGTCTCGTCTAGATCAGGCTGTTGTCTCGCAGCCGCTCTGCACGGCCGTCCAGATCCTGCTGGTAAACTACCTCCGTATACTGGGAATCAGTCTCTCCGTCGTCGTCGGTCACTCCTCGGGCGAAATCGCAGCAGCATACGCCGCGGGAGTCTTCTCCGCCACCAGTGCCATCCGTATCGCCCACCTTCGAGGCCACGTCGCGCGACTCGCGGGTGCCAACGATCAGTCTGGCTCCATGCTTGCTGCCGGATTAGCCCCAGAGGAAGCCAGGGAGCTATGCGAGCAAGAACAATTCCAAGGACGCATCAAGGTCGCCGCCTTTAACTCACCCAGCAGCATCACACTCTCTGGTGATGAGGATGCCGTGAAAGAAGTCGACGCCCTCCTCAAGGAGCAAGGGAAATTCGCCCGTGTCCTGAGAGTCAGCACCGCATACCACTCCCACCATATGGTCGCCTGCTCCGAGCCTTACATCAAGGCGCTCGCGGAAGCAAGCCTTCAGACCTCCGCCCCGACGGCAGCAGTGTGGTTCTCCAGCGTCCACGACGGTCAGAAAATTGGACCCGAGCACTTGGGCGCCCTGGCTGGCGAGTACTGGAACAGCAACATGCTCAACTCGGTCATGTTCACGCAGGCGTGCACAGCGGCCATGAACCACACATCGTACGACATGATGGTTGAAATCGGCCCGCACCCCGCGCTCAAGGGACCATTCATGCAGACCATGGGCGACATACCAAACGCCAACACCGAAGCTCCCTACATCGGTCTTCTCAAGCGTGGCGGCACCGGCGTTGAATCGCTCGCGACGGCTATCGGCTCCTTCTGGACCAATCTGGGCGCTGATGCAATCGATGCCTCTCAATACGTGAAGCTCTTCGACCCATCGCGGGAGCTGACTTTTGTGCGCAATCTCCCGACATACCAATTCGACCACTCGCAGACCTACTGGGCCGAATCGAGACTGTCCAAGAAAATCGCTCACCGGGAGCATGCCCCGAATCAACTGCTGGGTATCAGGAGCCCCGAGAGACTCGATGGGGAGTGGCGCTGGAGGAACTATTTGCGCCGCGCGGACATCGACTGGCTCGATGGCCACCAAATCCAGTCGCAGGTTATCTTCCCTGCCACTGGATATGTCGCAATGGCGTTGGAAGCGGCTAGTGCGATTGCTGGCGAGCAGAAGCTGCAGCTTGTCGAGGTTGGCGATTTCGCGATCGAGACTGCGATTTCGTTGAGCGATGATGCGGCTGCCGTCGAGACGATTTTCAAGGTTGAGAATCTGCGGACAGAGGGCGCTGTTACTTCTGCTGATTTCAGCTGCCACGCTGCTTTTGCTGGAACCATGAAGCTTTGCGCCGGAGGTACGATCAAGATGGCTATCGGGGGAGAGGCCGTTGACGCACTTCCTCCCCGATCCCACTCGCAGCCAGCACTGCCGTCCCCCGTCGACATCGAGGAGTTTTACAAATACCTTGGCGAGTTAGGCTACGGCTACACAGGTCTTTTCCACAGCATCAACGCATTGACAAGACAAATGAACGCCTCCAGCGGTACCATGCTGAATGCCGGCTCGATGGACTCGCAGAATCGCTACATCCTCCACCCAGCCCTCATGGACACCATCCTCCAAACCATCCTCGCGGCTATTGGTACCCCAGGCGATGGAAGACTGGCCACCCTGCAGATCCCCACCAAGATCAACCGGATCACTATCAACACAGGTCGCTTTGACGGTAAATCTCCCGACGTCCTTGGTGCTGAGCTTCCGTTTGACGCTGTTATTACGGGATACGGACCCAATGGTGTTCAGGGTGATGCAGATTTGTTCACGGCAGACCGAACGGCCGTGGTGCACATGGAGGGTGTTCAGATTTCGCCGCTGGAGACTCTGACGCCTGAGCAGGACCGTTTGATGTTCTCTGAGACGGTTTGGGGCCCGATGCACCCTGATGCTGAGGCCGTCTATGTGCCGGCCACGCGTGAGCAGCTCGATACGGGACGGTTGAAGGAGAAACTCGTTTTGCTGTATATTCGGGACATACTGGCAGGTCTTCCTGCTGATGTGCGCGATAAGCTCGACTCGCACCAGAGCAGGGTCGTGGCCTGGTTTGACAATGTTCTTTCAGCAACCCGCTCCGGAGAACACCCCATCTGCCAAAAGGAATGGCTCGACGAGGACCGAGACGCTGTTGCCACCCAATTGGCCGGTGAGACGGGCGTCGACATGCTCGCAATCCAGACCGTCTCAGAAACCATGTCCTCCTTCCTCCGTGGCGAAACCTCCATCATGGAAACCCTCCGCGAAAAGAGCCTCCTGGATCGGCTAAAGCGCGAACTCGCAGACCCCGCTATCATCACGCACATGGCAGATGTCGCCGGACAAATCGCCTTCCGCTACCCTCGCATGAAGATCATGGAAGTCGGCGCCAGTGGCGGACCTGCCACGCAGGCTATCCTGGACCGCATTGGGATGTCATACCACTCCTACATGTATACCGATGTATCTCCCGTTGTCCTCGAGGAAGCGGAGAAGACGTTCAGCGAGCATGCAGAGCGCTTCACGTACAAGTTGTTCGAGCCGGAGAGGGGAGCCAAGGAGCAGGGATTCCAGGAGGGTTCGTACGATCTGGTTGTTGCTGCGGGTTCTATCCATCCTACTGCGTGTCTGAAGGATACTCTCACCCGGATGCGCAGCTTGTTGAAACCCGGTGGCTATCTGCTGTGTCTGGAAGGAACCAACACCGATGAACTGCTTGCGTCGTTTATCTTCAGCGGGTTTGAGAAATGGTGGCAAGGCGAGGCCGATGGCCGACCATGGGGTCTCATGGCCAAGGCTGCGGAGTGGGATAACCTCCTCAAGGATGCTGGCTTCGCCGGTCTGGACACGGTTACACCGCACGACGATTCGCTGTTGAGACCGTTCTCCGTGTTTGTGGCCCAAGCCGTGGATGACCGAATCCAGCTGCTTCGGGAGCCTTTGACGTCTGGGGTCCAGGCACCGCAACACAACGATTTGGTCATCATTGGAGGCGAGAAGCCGGAAACCTCGTCGTTGGTGGCTGAGGTGGAGGACTTGGTGGCACCGTCCTTCTCCCGTGTCATCAAGGCCCAAACCCTGGAGTCACTCGATCTGCCCGAATCGTCGATGGCCACCATCTTGAACGTCTCCGATCTGGACTCGCCATGCTTCGATGAGCTGAACGAGCAGCGATTCAACACCCTCAAGACCCTCATGGGCGCTAGCTACCGATTCCTGTGGATCACCGCCGGTCCTGAGTCTGAGAACCCCTACCAGAGCATGAGCAAGGGATTGCTCGCCTGTGCTGGTTACGAGAATCCGCTGGCATACTTCCAGCACTACAACATTGTCGACGAGGATGCCGTGCAGGCGAAAACTGTCGCCACTGCATTGATGCGTATGGCTCACAATGATTCCGACAATGACTACAGCCTGGCAAACGGTGTCTGGAACATCGAAACGGAGATTCGATTGGAGAACGGCAAGCCATGGATTTCCCGCCTCCAGAACGACAGCGCCATGAACAACCGGTACATGTCTGAGCGACGGGTTATTCACAATTCCGTGGATGTGCAAAATGCGGTTGTCCGTGTTCAAAAGGACCAGAACAACTATGAGTTCCTTCTTGAGCAACAGAGTCCCAAGGATGGCGCGTTCAAGGTCCAGATTCGAGTCGACTATTCCACGTCAACTGCCGTCAGAGTGGATGCAATTGGTTTCTTGCATCTCATTATCGGACGCGATGAGAGGACACAGGGTCGTCTGCTCGCCTTGTCTGAGACCAATGCGTCCGTCGTCTCCGTGACGCCGTCTTGGTGCTGCCCTATTCCCACTGCCGCTAAAGGCCGAGAGGCCAGTTACCTTACCTCAATGGCCGCTGCCATCACCGCTGAGCATCTGCTTGCACAGGCAACACCCAACACGAGTATCCTGGTCCACGAAGCGGACGAAGTTCTCCGAAATGTCGTCTCGACCCACGCCAAATCCAAGCGTGTCAAGACGTGCTTCACCACAAGCAAGCCCGAGGGCCGGTCACACGAGACGGTCTACCTTCATGAAATGATGCCGACTCCCTCGTTGATGCGCGTGTTGCCTCGGAACGTGTCGGTTGCCGCTTCCGTTGGGGCCAGCTCGGATCGAAACTTTGCCAGAATCGAGCAGATGTCGCTTACCAGCCTGCGTTGTGAGCGTCCTGAGACGCTTCGTCAAGACACCGCTGTCGTGAGCAAGCCTTGTGATGTCGCAAAGGGCGCGACACTGCTACAGATTGCATCGCAATTGGTAGAGAGCTGCATGGGGACGAAGATGGACAGCGTCGATGTGGCGCACCTGGCTGAAGGTGGCGTATCCGAGGATGGTCTGCGGATTATTGACTGGACTAAGTCTCGTGCCGTTCCAGTGAAGATGCAACCGGCCAGTTCCTTGGTTGTTTTGTCGGCCCACAAGACGTACTTGTTAGTCGGAATGACGGGTGACCTTGGACAGTCTGTGTGTCACTGGATGCTTGACAGGGGAGCTCGCAACTTTGTCCTTACCAGCCGGAACCCCAAGGTTGATCAGCATTGGATTGAGGAAATGGCGGAGTTTGGTGCCAATATTGTCCCGATGTCCATGTAAGAATCCTTCGCTTTTTCACTTTTCGCAAACTTGACTGGACAATGCTAACTCTTGAAATCAGGGACGTTACCAGTCAGGAATCCATCCTGAATGTCGACCAGGCTATCCGCAAGGATCTTCCCCCGGTTGGCGGTGTGGTCAACGGAGCTATGCTTCTCAACGACAGTCTACTGATGAATATGTCATTCGAGGAGATGCAACGCACATTGATGCCCAAGGTCAAGGGTAGCGTCCTGCTCAACGACCTCTATTCCGGCTCTGGCCTGGACTTCTTCATTCTGATGGGATCGATCGCCGGACCGCTGGGTAACCGAGGCCAATCTGCCTATGCCGCCGGCAATGTGTTCATGACGAGCATTATCGAATCGCGCCGCAAGCGCGGTCTCCCTGGTAGTATCATCAACCCCGGCCAGATTCTCGGTGTCGGGTACGTCTCCAAGGCCGGATCCTGGCTCACCAAGGCCCTGGTCAACTCCATCGGTTCCTACTCCATGTCCGAGCAAGACCTCCACGAGCTCTTCGCCGAAGGTATCCTTGCTGGCCGTCCGGAATCCAACCGCAACCCCGATATCATCGCGTCCTTCAAGCTGGAGTCCCCCGTCCAACGTCCCGATGTCATCTGGTACCGCAACACCAAGACCTGGGACTTTATCGTGCACTGGGCGGAGCGGAACTCGTCCTCTGGCGGGAACACTAAGACGGTGCCAGTCAAGGTGCAACTGCAATCCGCTCAGAATGAAGGCGAGGCTGCTGAGATTGTCGAAGCCGCGTTCATTGCGAAACTCCGCAGCAAGCTCGGGTTGCCGGAAGAGGATGAAGTCTCGGGCGAAACGGCTCTGATTCAGTTGGGAGTTGACTCGTTGGTCGCGCTGGACTTGCGAGGATGGTTTGTGAAGGAACTCTCGGTGGATGTGCCAATTCTGAAGATTCTGGGAGGGTCGTCGATTGGTGAGCTTGCGGCTGAAGCTGCGTCCAAGTTGTCTGCGACTTTGGGAGAGAAGAAGGATTAGCTGTAATTAATTGAAAATTATACCCTGAGTAAACAAAGAATCAAGAGTTATGTATCTTGCCTTGAGTGTACTGTGTGTAGAATTGAACGTCGCGTGGGGAGTTTATCGAGTAGTCCAGCTCACGTGCCTAGTCCCAACCTCTTTGTTGTCAAGTTGAGATACATAACTAGGCAACTAGGGCACATTTACGTATCAGTTTGATGTCATCCACGCTGAACAACGACGAAATTCGAACAAGCATCCACCCATCAAAATCAAATATACTCTATCATCATGTTATAATGTTTTAAAGGTACTGTTTGGTTTTGCATGGCTCTGCTCACCCACTGATCACCCCAACACTCACCCTTGACTTTAGGCCATTGGCATAAACAGAGTAGAAATACAGCCTCACTCACTCGCTACGCGAGTTCGGCAAAAACAAAAAACATACAACAGCCGGGATTCGCTGGTGGTCACCCACCCAACTACTAACCGGCCGGCGTGTGGCTTAAGTACGGCTGAGCGGACGGGAAGCCCTGTTCTCCACACCCTATGGTCGTATGTACTAATTCCTTTAGTTAATGTGGTATATATCTATTCCTAAGCGAGTTAGAGGTGAGCTTGGGTGAGTGCACTATACAGAGGGTGAGCCGTCATTTAACACCGCACAGCGCCGCGCAATTCCAATCTCTATCTTGGCATCTGCACATAGCCACAAACAAATCTTCTCTTGACAAGTGATCAGTGATTCGGATTCGGATTTACTCATACCCGTCCCAGCCAATCTTAATACATGGCTATGCAGGTGTCGAGTCTACCTGTATGTGACTTTATACACGGCTTATAGTAACCAATGAGCTTATGCGCAGTGATATTCTTGATATGAGAAAGGCCCTCTCTACCAAGACTTTACGGTCACGAAAGCGGTTGGTTGGACTAGGGCTATTCTCTCACGCAGATCTCCAGAAAATGAAAGAACAGAAGGAGCAGGCAAAAGAAAAGAAGTTAAGCAGGAAGAAGAGACCCCAGGCTATTGGGCCAAATCCAGGATCCTGATGTAATCGCTTCTGGTAGCGGTTCTATTGATGAAGCAAGACGGTCGATTGTGGAGGTTGTGATATACAACAAATCGCAGCACCGATTCGCAGCAACGCCTGGGTCAGATTATTTCAAACCTTTGCAGATTAGTTTTCCACGTAGGCCTAACCGGGAAATAACATTAAATAGTGAATTCATTATAGTTGTGGTTGTTAAGAGAGGTTTTAATTCTGACAAATTTTGGTGTTAAATCGTATGCATAGGTGGGCGAGACCCCCGTATAGGTCAATCAAGGCCAGGAAGACGTATCCACCGCATCAGAAGACTGCCAATTTGTTCATTGAAGAGAGTACTGCCATGTTTCAGTGTCACCTCAGTGATCGTGAGAGGGACGGTAATGAAAGCAGGTGGAGACAGTGGGTGCTCAGCCGCAGTTTGCAACGAAAAAGAAAAAAAAATGAGGGAAAGAGGGTCATTGAGCGCATGCAGGTGATCGGGCTGGTAAAGAAAAATTAAAGTTGGAAGGACGGAGTGTTAGAACAGCGAGAGGTTGGTTTCTATTCTCTAGGACGGGCTGCAGTAATTACAGATGGGCATATCAGGACACCATACCCAAAGGGAAAAAGCTAACCGGAAGAGGGAATTCACAGGCTTTTGCTTTACAATAACAATAATACCTTTCTACAATGTATATTTTTCAGCAAGGAAATGCCATAAAACCCTAATCCCCAATGGTGCCCAGTATCATCACTTGACATCCCAATTTTCAACAACAGAAGATTTGAGGCCTCACATCTCCAGGTTGAAAATAATGTGACAACTGATGCTTTAGTAATTACCTGGAAGGTCTTTGCCGACGATAGGCAAAGCCGCAAAGTCTGCATTTCATCTCGTAATACGAGGCTCGGCAGCCTTGTCGCCTCCGTTTATCATCCGAAAATAGAACAAAACGAATGGTATACTAAGCTCTATTTAACAGCATGATGATGCTGCACTAGTCCTTGAGATAAACACTTTATTCTGTTTCAACTCTTGAGAACTGAACAAACGAACTATGGGTGAATCCACGCATCAACCTTGGCATTGGCCACTTGGCCGACTCGAGGATCATCTGATACAATTTCGCTCAAAGGCTGCAGTTGATGATGAGGAGTTTGAACTTAACCAGTTAGTTTCTGAGTACAGCAGACAGATTGAATCTGACTATTGCTAATTAAATTTCATAGGACCTGTCAATATCCCAACAAAGACCTCAATGATACCAACACGCCCCTGGTATTGAAATTAGCTTCCTGTTTATTACCTCAAAAACTTGCCATTAGAGTGGAGCAGAGGATTCAGCAATATCAAGAAAGCCAACAAGAGTGGGTTACAGGTGTCCTACTTTGTGCCTTTGCTGCCATAATTGTCTTATTCCTCAACGTGGTCCTGACAATTATTGCCGCTTCCATTGCATATTCAAAAGCTGAGGACCAGGAATCAACTTCTGCCACACTCCACCACGGCAAATGTTCCACGTCAAAGAACTGGATGCGTGGCCTGCATTTCTTGATAAATGTACTCAGCACAATCATGTTGGCAGCCAGCAATTATTGCATGCAGTGTCTGAGTGCACCATCTCGCAAAGCTATTGATAATGCCCATTTCAACAAAGGTGGCTTGACATCGGAGTACCTAGTATGAAGAATCTTAGTTTTGTTGGCCGGAAGAGACGCATGCTATGGATCTCGTTATTGGTATCCTCCTTACCCATCCATCTAATGTTTGTCTCCGTGTTTCTACTTCTTAGAAGCTCATTTCTAACTGTCGTTTATAGATATAACTCTGCGGTGTTTTCTGCATTGGGCACAAATGAGTACCCTATCCTTCTTGCACCTGCGGACTTTGACTTCAAAGACCCACCAGATCATGACCCTGTTTTTGCAAGTTGCTTTGAACGAAACGTTGCTATGAATGTGCAGGACTTTTACTCTCAAAATTTCTCTGGAGATTTTGAAGAGCTCGATAAACAGAAATGCCTTCACACTCACGCTGTTGATTTCATCGCAGGTCAAGGAACTCTGGTTCTCTTCACAAATGACTTGACAGCACTTAATGAATCGTTACGCTGGATTTCCATGGGGAATGCCCGCTACGATTATACAAAGGATCCTTTTAAGTGGATGTGTCCAAAATGGCCTGAAGACTGTCGAGATGGGCCTCCGAACGACTTTTCCGTATCCCCCAGACCCTGGTCACCTTCCTTGCTTAATGCTACTACTCCGTCGAATGTCACCCATAATCAAGATGGTGGATATTTTCCTAGTTATAGTGGCGATGAGTATAGTGATTTCCGGACTCTCGACAGTTTGTTGGGCTATTATCTTGAAGAGAAAGACTTCCAACGATATCTTGATGATCCAAGTCGCTGGAGGAACAGTTCCTGGGCAAAGAATATTGTAACCCAGACAACTGGTGCTATATGCGCCACAAACACAGGCCTCGACCGGAACATAGGATCTTTTCCCACTGACGAACTGCCGGTCGACCATTGTTTAAGCCAAAAAGTCGAAGAGAAGTGTCAACTCCTATTCAGTCTTCCTATATGTCTTACCGTCATCTTTTGCAACGTAATTAAAGTTGTTTGTATGTTTGCGACGGCTTATGATGATAGGAAGAGTATATTCCTGACTGTTGGTGATGCCGTATCCTCCTTTCTCCGCAACCCTGATGCAACAACTGAAGGGAGGTGCTTATTGGGCAAATCAGACGTAACAAAAGGCCGACAATCATGGCCCAATGACTTGTCAGCAGAAAAGCCTACAAATCTTCTGAACAACAAGAGATGGATAAGATCTGTGAGCGCCTTAAGTTGGACGACCACAATCACTCTGTATGTATTTTGCACTATTTTGATGATGGCCTGTCTAACTTTACAGTTGTCTGCTTCTTCTCTCAATCTCAGCCCTGCTTCTCCACATCGGTATCAATGCCCAGAAGGGCGAGACTACATTTTTATCTCTCTGGAACCTGGGTTTTGGCACTGCCACATCATCCACGATAATACAATTCTGCTCTGATTCTTATGATTCTAAAAGTTGTGCTCAAATTATACCCATGGTCCTTGTTGCAAACAGCCCGCAGATTCTAGTGTCTATTGCATATTTCCTCTACAACAGTATCTTGACTAACATGCTTCTTGCAGCTGAATACAATGATTATGCTGGGCAACGCAAGCCATTGCGTGTTTCCTGGCCTAAGGGATTCCAACGCTCAACCTACTATCTCAGCCTTCCATACCGATATAGCATCCCACTCTTGGTAACTCATGCAGTGCTACATTGGCTCGTGTCCCAGAGCTTATTCTTTGTGGAGATTCTCCCATTTGATATTCTTGGGAATCCTATAGCGGAATATCGGCTAGTCACGTGTGGTTTCTCGCCAATTGCAATTATTTTCGCTATTGCTCTTGGGTCTGTCATGGTGTGCATCATCCTGGGCTTGGGCCTGAGGCGTTTAAAAATCAACATGCCCCTTGCCGTCAGTTGCAGCATGGCAATTAGTGCTGCGTGTCATCCTCCACCTGGCGATGACCATGCCCTCAAGCCTATTATGTGGGGCGAAATCCCGGCAGCACAACTCGACCATGCAAAAACGAACAGAGAAATAGATTGCGAAGAGGAAAGACTGCGTTCTGTCTCTAATATGGACATGAGAGACCATGGGTCAGACGGAGAAGATACAAAATCAGAGCCAAATCGGAGACAGGGGAATGAAAGCCAGACCCAGTTACTGACCAAAGAGGATGGTTCCCATGGAAAGAATTGCACAGGATATGGTCATTGCAGCTTTTCATCTTTTGAGATTATTACTCCTAGCTCTATGCGGCTCTATGTGTGATCGTGGTTTATCGTTTATCTGAGTGGATTGTTCTGTAACAAAGTATTGAATACTATGCATAAATTGTGGTGGGAAACTAGTTGACTAGTTAAAAGACGTAATCAACTACCGAGCTGGGCACACCAGCTTGGGAATTCAGTCGCTTGGTCATTATGAAATATTGTAGGGCTTGATGATCACCAGTAGGTACAACGGCATTAAAACTAGAGCCACCCCGGGGCCGCGGCGGGCCCATCTCGCCTACACCGGTCAAGGCCTGCTCTATCCATTTCTGCCATTGAAACTTCGCCATCATCTCTGGTTGACGCAGGAGTAGACCTCTTCAAATCCCATGGAAGTTCCATGGACGGGAGTTGCCCTAACTCCCATGGGAGTCTGGGAATTCCCACGGGAATTATTTGTCAGCGTAGCCCTAAAACCCCGTCACAAAGCATAAGTTGTGCAGTTTTTCTCTGTATTTCTCTGTATTCAGTTTACAAACTAGACATGCATCTTACTAAGTCACGATCTCAGCGACAAATTAAGGGCGCGTCGTATAAATAAGGATACGGAGAATAAATTATGTTTGAACTTTGAAGAATATCAATTGTCTAGCTAATAGTAATTGAACCCATCATCCTTACATCTAGGACGCTTCCGCGTCCTCGCTGATATACGCACTTGAGTATTGTTGTCTTGATCAAGCGCCGAAGGCAGAGGAAGGCCATCATCGTCTTCTCGGATGCAACACTCTTTCGCCTTTTCCCCAAGCTACGTTGGCTCTTTACCTTCATCGTAGGCTGCACCGGACTGATGATTGGTGCATCATCTTCATCATCGCTAATTGGATCTGGAGTATACGGAGGAAATCGAGCTTCTCTTTCCTCATCTGCCACTTGCCTCTCCTCCCATTAATCTTTTCTTTTTTTCTTGTGTCGACTTTCAATATAAATTACTTTACTAAGTACTATATCACTAATCCATTCCCTCACAGATCTTACAAAAAGAATATCACGACAAGTCTTAGTTCCATACCCAGATTCCACAATAGATGAAATGCCTTCATCAGGTCAACAGCTCCGGAAAATTGTTGGACATAAGGGACATTTCAGAATATCTTGCATTTTGATAACTGCTCTATTAGGATTGGATGTGGGCGCACTGCTCACAGCTCTTTACCTCCAACCATCAGCTTTGTTTACCAGATTTTCTTCACTCACTAAGACATATAGATCACACAATGCGGGTCTTTGATTCCTGGATTCGTGACAAGTGCCGGATACTAGTCCGGGGCCTGACTCCAGATTATTGAATCGACAGATTCTGGATCCGGATGCATACTAGCGGAAAGGTCTGCGACGCTGCTCGGCTGGAACTATTGGTTATAGCAATACCGCCCAACTCTCAAAAACTTGCTAAGCGGGCTTCTCGGTTGCTACGCATCTATAGAGAGCTCAGACCGCGTCCAGAATGAGAAAGGGTTATTTGCAAGTGCTTTCTAGAATACGTCTTCAGGCAGTATTCCCACAATGCCATGGATGTGTTCCCAGGCAGGGAAGATCAAGCAGGTAATGAAGACCAAGGTCGTACACACTTCTATACAGTTCGCGAGGAATTCTTGACTTTGCAGGCTTGGAGTTCCTCTTGCCATGGGATATAGAGGTACTAATCTAACGACTTTGGAAGGCAACAGACAGCATCCCATATATTTATAATCTATATTTTATTCTGTCTACCTCCCTCCTCCCTTCCCCCAAACAAAAAACAAATTCTATACTAATCGTTCCCCAGTGCGCTTACGGTGATTATTATCTTCCAATCATGACCATTTTCTAGTTTCTTGGCCGCCCCAACTCGGCACATTTACTTCAATGCCTCCAACACCTTCTTACTGTTCTCACTTTTCACACCACAGCCCCATCCCTTTGTCTCAATACCATTTTCTCACCCCACTGTTCCTCTGCTGTCCTCGTTCATCTGACTTTACTCAACTGTCATCTGCTCAGGCCAATTTCTGTCTCAGTTTCTCAAACGCCACCTTCTGGTCTCACAACTTCAGTGGCTATCCCAGCAGACGCCCATGATCTTGCTTATGATGTTTGTTGGCAAAGAGAGTCCAGCGCATGATCCCAAAGGTGGATAGGGCTTCCAGAGTGGCTAGCGCCCAGCCCTCACTGAATAATATAACAGTTGAATCATAGCTCAATTTAATTAGTCGTTCCTTGAATATCATACAGAAATATAAAGCCGAGGAAATCGAACGGAAGAACCTTCTTGTTCACTCCTGATTGGCCCGCACTAGCGAGCCCACACACATATGCCGGATAGAGGAGATCCACCCTCATCCATCTAGATTCTAGACAGCTACAGAATACAATAGTATCGTCAATACCTTTCCTTGCCATAGCCTGATCCACAAAAAATAACCCCCTGAGATTTCGAGAAGACAGGAAAGGTGTGAGAACCAAAGTCTTCCGAGGACGTACTATGTCTCTCTTTCTTGGAACAACAACGGTCCGCTGTCCGTAGGGAAGGCGTTCTCTAGTTATTAAAATGCCCACAGGGGTTGAAAGCGGTCCTGACGTAAACGGCTCTAAAAATTTGTGGGATTCGGATTCAGGCGTTGGCATGTCTCTAAGAATTAGAGAGCGAGAGGCACAGAGGATGAGGGAAAGAATAGCGATGGAAGATGGGCAGAGTAAACAAGCAGAGATAGGGTGTTAATTGATGCCTTAGCTGAGTAGTTCTGCTGCCTAGATGCATGACTTGAGCCTCTTCAATTTCTTTTACCCCGTCATCTCTCTCAATGATATCTCCCAACACAACCAAAACACCCAACATGGAGAAAGAGAAGACGAAACAAGATAGCCACGATAGCCAGACACCCACCTCATCCAGTAACACTACCAGCCATCAGCCATTAAAAGACAAAAATAAAGATGCACAACTATCACGCAAGGGAGAAATTGAAAGAGAATCAAAACGTCGGTACCTAGAACCCTCGGAGGAACTCTGGAAGCGACTAGAAGAGGCGATTCCCGGCTATACAAGTAAGTCTAGAATTTACTCTGCACATACTCCTGGTAGTGTCTAATGGACTCATTCAATAGCCAAATGTATCTCGCCATTGCCCGAGGATTTCGTTGCAGAGTGGATGGCTGAGATGGAGTGTGACCCTGATGATGATGGATCGTCTTCGTCTAATGGGACAGATGATAAGTAACTGAATTACGGGCACCCTCACTTATGCGAATAGGTATAGCAACTAGTCTAAAGAGTCTAATATTTTGAAACTCATGACTGAATCTCCTCTTTCCTTCCATTGTGTTTTGAACGCCCTGCAGATTTTGCCGATGTAACATGTTCCGGCTGTGCAGCGCAGCGTATGCATCTAGATTGGTCATTGATCAAGGAGGAAGGGAAAATAGTACTGGTATTAAGTCTTGCAGTAAGATTGAGTAATTACATGTTTCAAACAGAATAGGAAGTCATCTGTCAAACGGCACCATTTGTGTCCACAGCCCCAGCTTCCCAACGGCCATAGTATGTCTTGAGTAGCTCTGGCATGGGCTTGATATCCAGAATGTTCGGAGAGTCCGCTAACGCTCGGCAGAGGTTTGTGGTTTCATACGCGGCCATTCCACTGCTGTCACCCAACCAGATCTCGTTCTCCGTTAGTCGTTCTTTGAGAAGAGGCGTTGCTCCTTTCATACTATGTTTCCCTTGTGCCGCAAACATCTGAAGCCATTCAGCTGCAGAGACACATTGTAGTGGAGTTGAACTGTACTCGCTCAGGATTTTAAATGTATCCATCCAGGTAATGGTTTGATCTTGATTAGGATGGACGACATTGAAGGCGTGGCCTTGGTTCTCTGAGGATTGCGAGATGCGCAAGACAGCTGCGCATACATAGTCAACTGGGACAAAGTGGTTACGCTGCTGAGGTGGAGCTGGATAGGCCCTGAGTCGGATGCAGTTGCACATGAGTCGATTGAACAAGTCTTCGGGCTTGTCAATTCCTGTGCCGCTGTGGCCCATCACGACTCCCGGGCGATAGATGGTTATGGGGAATCTGTTGGCAATGGCGTTCCAAGCAATACTCTCCGCAGCAAGTTTGCTTCTTGTATATCCAACGTGCTGCTCAAAGTACTTGGGATCCAGCGTGGCCCTCTCGTTCTCGGGGATAGTCGTGCCCGTGATATGAGCCGAGGCGCCGCATGCCCCGATACTGGAGAAATAATTCAAGGGCTTGAGACGCCCAGTATTGACAAACTCTAGCATATTGAGGAGTCCAACAATGTTGGCATCACGATGAGCAGAGTAGGGAAGGGTGTAGTTGACGTAGGCTCCAAGGTGAAAGACAACACTAGACAACAGTGCATGATGATCAAATTCCTCCTTTGACATTCCCAAATTCGGGTGGGCGATATTGCCAGGAACCACAGTGATATTGTCCAAAGGTTCAAGGGGTAGGCCGTATCGGGTGAACATCTTCTCAATCCGTAGTCTTCCCGACAGAGGATCTGTTGTTCGAACCAAGCATGCAACACTCTTAACTTGTGGGAGAGTGAGAAGCTCCAAGAGAAAGAAGGCTCCCACAAATCCCGTTGCACCTGTGAGGAAGACTCTTCCTTCAGATTCAGAGCACCAGTCAGGGATGGTTCCAGGAAGAGCTTGCAAGTCACTGCCCAGCTTCATGTCCTCCAGACAAATCGTCATTTCATCCAGTTCAGCTGGTGATGGAGCGCTTATTTCACTGGGAAGTTCCTCTTCATCAAGGTATTTCTTGCGCAACATCTTCACGGCCACATCAGCCAGCCCTCCAACGGTGCCCGCATTCGAGATCTCAACCAGGGAGATGTCAATACCTGCATTACGGCGAAACCAACTGCGGATTTCTATGCTCATTAACGAGTCAATTGCAATATTGGCAAGTTCCTCTTTGCTCAAGTCCTCCGCATAGGCAAGATGAGCAGCGACAACTTTGCCTAGCTCAATGGTGATTTTGTCATGGGTTGACTGCCCTTCCAGCAAACTGGGATTTTCCCGAATCCCATCCAGAAGGGACCGTAGTTCATGAGATTGAGAGGCCTTTGCCGCTTTGTTCGTTACTAAAGCATTTTGCCAATGACTCAAGCGACCTTCATGCAGCCATGGTAGCTCTTTAACATTGCCCATGGTTCCAAGACCCACGACGAGTTGTGATGAAGGGTGAGGAGATTGAGCAAAGACTGAGATTTCCAATGCTTGCAGCAGATCCTTTTCTTCAATGATCTGTATGTCCATGGTGTTGACAATATTTAATGTTTGTGGGCTTTGCTCAGCTGCATAACCAATATCTGTCACAAAGCCAAGATCAATCACACTTGCTGGGAGTCCTTGGGAGTGACGATACTGGACAAATGAATCCAGGAAGGCGTTGGCTGCCGCATAATTGGCCTGGCTAGCAAATCCCATGATACCCGTGACAGAGCTGAAAAGAACAAAGAAGTCAAGTGGTATGTTTTGAAGCTCGAAATGGAGGTTCCATGTCCCTTGAACCTTTGGTGTTAAGGCGGCCACCCAGTCCTCATAAGTCATTTTGGATAGCATTTGATCCTTCATAGTAAAAGAAATTAGTGTTGGATAGAAGGAAAGGGCGTAGGGCAGAGTGACTAACCTTGAGCACCATAGACATTTGGAGTACGCCTGCAATGGGGCGCTTGGCTGCTGAAAGAGCCCGCTGGATATCTTCGATATTTGAGACATCGCCCGCGATCACCGTCGCACTCACCATATTATGGCTCTCCAGGTCGTTAATAAAGGCTTGAACTTCAGGCGACTCGCTGCCTGACCGAGAGAGGAAGATAAAATTGCGGGCACCCTTTTCCACCATCCAGGTGCTAATGGCTCGACCAAGTCCTCCAAGTCCGCCAACCAACAGATATGAGGCGTCCGGTCTGAAGAGCGGGGTGGTGTCATGTATCTTGGATATTGGCAGAGTATTCGGATCCTCTGGCATTCGAACAATGATCTTGCCAATGTGTTGGCCTGTTTGCATGTGGCGGAAAGCCTTGACAACATCCCTGGCGTCAAAAACAACAACAGGTTTGATGGGTGTCAACTTTCCTTGCTGGAAATATCTTGTGAACTGTTCAACCAAGTCCCCCAACGCTTCCTGGTTCTCATGCCCTATGACCGAAAGATCCACGCCGATGAAAGAACGGTTGCCCAGGAATCCATCCATGTCAAGTTTGCCGTGGCCCATAAAGTCTCGCTTTCCGATCTCGACCATCTTACCGAATTTTGCAACACATTTCCAGGAGGCATGAAGCAGTTCACCTGAAAGAGAGTTCAGCACCAAATCAACACCTCGTCCATTGGTTTTCCTCAGCACGCCTTGCAAGAACGATGTGCTTCTGGAATCAAATATGTGATCCGCTGGGATTTTCATGGTATCAGTGAGATAATTAACCTTCTCACTAGTCCCAACCGTGGTGTATATTTCTGCCCCTATCATCCTGCAAACTTGGATTGCGGCCAGTCCCACACCTCCACATGCAGAATGAATTAGTACAGACTGGCCTTTCTGTAGGTTTCCAACCGTGATAAGACAATATATCACCGTTGCATAAATGCATGCTGTTGCAGCAGCATCTTCAAGCGACATTTGTTCAGGGACAGGCTGGCAAGAAGCAGCTGGGACAACTTTCTTGCGTGTGCATGAAAGTAGATTTAATTGTAATAACATCGACAGCTCACTATGTTATTATCGAACTTCTGACCAAGGACTCCTCCAGAGAAACCGTAGCTTATCAGTTCTGGTAAGCTTTGGCGGCCCTTTTAAACGCATCATTGAGCTTGTTCGAGTATGGCTTTACCAGACGATAATGCTCGTCAGATAGATGGCGCTTCATCACATCCTCCACCTTGTTCTTCTCATCATGCAAATGGTCGAACATCCCCTGTGCAACATACTGGACGCCAGCCTTCTTGCACTCGGGCGCCTAGATTGATTTGAATGATTAGCGTGAAAGGATGAGAGAGGGTACAATTCGATCTTACCTTGTCATGCGCCACATCCAGCAAGTCCATCGCCTGGGGATACAAATCCTTGTATGATTCCATAATATCCGAGCTCTCTTCATCCGTGTAATTATCAGGTCCGGCAAGGTCTTTCCGGGCAGTTCCAAATGAGGTTTTGGCGTCGTGCAGGGCCTTGGCTATCATGAGGTTGGAAATGAGGCCGCCGTCGTATTTCTCCATGGTGCCCTTCGCCCTGCTTAGCTCGCGAGCGATGGCCTTGTTATTGGACACGATCTGCTTGGCATCGATTGCAGCAATGGCGGGGGAAACGAATAACACGGCGGTTAAGAGGTACTTGATGAACAACATGGTGCAATGATCCAAAATGGTGAGGGTGAAAATCAAACTCGGTGTTGGGTATTAACAGGAATGCTAACGAGAAACACACCCTTTGACCTGTTGGGTGCCTTGGGTTCTTAAAATTGATTTTAGCTGTAGTTATTACTCTTCGGGATTTGTCAATATTGGCCCTAGGACTACATAGTACTAGTGCTTTTAGTATCCTGCATCAGGATGCGATCTAGCAGCGATGATCATGGGACATCACAGCTGAATGTAATGGGATTTCGATATTTACAGATAGCTATATTTTTGGATTTTTATTTCAGACAGGAAGAACCAGATACATATCAATAACATAAAAAAATGAGCTCCTTGCTGGGCACCGGTCACTATATGACCTGCCTCATATCCGGGCTTTCAGAGGAAGTCTGCAAGAGCCTTTTCGAATTCATTTCCAAGACTCTTGACGGGTCCCGCGAGTTCCATGTGGTTATCCACCGGGAGCTTCTGCTTAGACAAGGTTTCATACGTGGCCCTTTCCTTAGCAAAACCTTGTAGAATGATCGTCGTGAACGCCTTCAGCCCCGCCGAGTCGAAGTGATCGGTCTTCATTAAGCTTAGCATAATCCTTTCTGACCAGACAGGATTGTCATGGAATCTGTTGTCATACCTTGGAAGATACGGTGTCCAAAATGTCCCTGATAGACGTGCGAATATCGTGATAGTGGCCCAAGTATGTGAAGACCTGGTCCGCTGGAACAGAGTCCAAGTCCGCCAGGGTGTTTCTCGCCGAGTTGCTGCTCATCATGAGATTGTAGAGCTCATAACCGCAGCGCAACGTCTGTCCGGCACCGCCGTCGAGGCCCTTGACGCATTCATGGGTGGAGAGGATTCGCTGGTGGAGGGAGCCGAAACCGAGGAAAACAGTATCCGTGTTGGTGGCAGCTAGAGAAAGGGTTTGGATGGACGCCAGAGGCGCCAGAAGGGCGGATATTAGGAACTGTTTGAGCAGCATTGTGACAACTCTGGTATGTCTTCGCGTAGTTCATACTCTGTACAGTCTCTTCATGCCGGTTACCCTATGCTTTTTATAAGGTTCCATAGCAGATAATACTGCGAGGGGCGGCTAATTCGGAGACTGTGGATATTGGGTATCAATAGTTTGCTCAGCTGAGGTGATAGCATTTCACCTTTGCATAAGCCGAAGCTAGTCCTAGTTTGCCCTTCATAGTACACACTCTGTACCGCTGTGCCAGCTTAGCCGGAAAGCGAGCCGCCATGTGTACGCTTTACAAATCAATATGATCATATTCTGGCTGTAATTCGTCGAATTGAGGTGTTATATGGCTGTCATGGCCAAGCACAAGTAGACAATTGAAGCCAATGAAAATGGGTGAACAGCCGATTTAGATTACTATGGGAATACAATACTGTAAAATAACATCACCTGCACATCCATGTACAGCGCAAAAACACGGAATATTAAGCTCCATAACTAGTGGATTCTGCCCGATTGAAGGAGAGTTAGTGTTTGTTTCCTTTTGCACGTTATAGTTACAGACAGATACAAATCCCGGCCCTAACGCTACATAGAGATATTCAAAAATGTATACTATATTGACCTCTCTAGCACTAGAACTAGTACATACGACCATATGGTGTGGAGAGCAGGGCTTCCCATCCGCTCAGCCGTACTTAAGCCACACCAGCGAATCCCGGCTGTTGTACGTTTTTTTTTTTCTTTTCTCATTTTTTTGCCTTGTGTCTTTCTAGAGAGTTCTGATGCTATTCATCTTTTTGAACATGTCACTGTTAGGACACAAAGCCGTATGTGCGGAATTATGCATTCCTTTGTCATACTTATGCCTGTACTCAACGTAATCAACCCTGAGCGACGAATATCACCGAGCGGCGAATTCTCGCCGTAACTACCACTTCTTTTTTTCAACGTGTTGTTTTATCACCACCATGATCAAGAATGCCTTGCCCGGGGGAGATGGCTGCAGAAGGCCATGGCCAAACAAAAATCAGCAGCCCAGAGGACATACAGGCCCCAAAGGGGCTGGAGGCTGGGCCTTGCGGCCACAGGAGCCCCTAAAGCCCTAGCCAGCCGATATCATCAGCTTAAACTAGGCCATGCGGCAATCGGGCCCTATCTTCAGAGGATACAAGCCCGGGAATCAGAAGCCTGCCAGGGCTGCGGAGCACCCAGAGAATCAGTATACCACCTACTCCTGGAGTGCCGGGGGGGAGCAAGGCCCCGCAGGTTCCTGCTTAGGAGACTGATGGAGGCCGGGGCCTCCAGACCAGACACAGGAGAGGCACACCCGGAGGCAAGATTGTTTGGGGACCCTAGAGCCACCCCGGCCATCCTACAGTTCCTGCGGGACACTGGCATAGGGGCCAGACAAGCTCCTGAGGAAGCCCAGGAGCAAGCCCGGGGACAAGGTGAATGGGAAGCGCTAGAGACAGAGCAGGTGGAAGAAGTATAGTGGGAGGGGGGGACGGCCCGACAAGTGACGAAAACGAGGAAGGCACGGGGGGGCATCCCCCCGGGGCCTGAATGCCCTAGGCAAGGAGGCCGGATTGGGGTGAGGAACAGGCAAGAGAACGTTATTTAGTAGTAAACCCGAAAGGGGCGAGGGGTGTGACGGCTCAACACCTAAACACCGCCTCAGTGGCCGACATCAACAAACGCCGCCATCCAAGCAAGCAAACAAAGAAAGCACTTAGCACGGCCACACAAACCATAGATAAAACCCCTTTTTCCTGTAGATAGATTTCCTTTTCTTCTTCTTCCCCAGATTCGATATTCTCGTCGTTAGGCTACCTAGTCTAGATATGAATATTATTCGTTTTATCTGCTAGTTTCCGAGCCCGAAATCTATCTAGGCGATGAACGGTCTTTATAGAAATTTGTGTGGTGCGGCTTAAGCCCTTGTTTGCCCATATTGCTTGTATGGCATTGTTTGATATGTTGGCGCTGTTTGTCTGGCGTTGAGCCGTCACATTCATGGCCTTCATATACCTCCAGCCAGTTATTCCCTTCCAATATCTGAGGCTGCTCGCTTGCTTCCAATGCCTTAGGCTGCGGAGGTACGGGCGCGGTGCTTCCAAGCTGGGTTCCCAAGCCCTGTCCAGAAATTATTAGATAAATATATGAGCATTTGGTGAAAGAGAATTGAAAATGCAATGTACCTCTGCCCACTTTGGCGCCATCATCAAGTCCTTTGGAATAGCATCCGTGGGTACAACTTGTCCTTCAACGAAAAGAGTGTATCTATACCCATATTCAAGTTGCCCTGTCTTGTACATGTGAAGTGCGGTGCGGATATTGGCATGCTGCTGGCTCGGGCTCTCATCTTGAAGGTAGGCTTCTAGTTGCCGGATCCTTCTTGAGACTGGGAAGGCCTTTTTGAATGATTGTCTGGATTGTTCAAACAAGGCTTGAATTTCTTTCTTTCTATTTATTTTGTACTTGAGCTAGGAATGCGTTGTTAGAAGTAGCAATATTCAGGGTGCGACTGACAAAGGACAAGCAAATCTTAATGACCAATAGCCAGGGAGACTAGAAAAACTGGGAGGAACTATGATTAGGGTGATATGGAATAGATATGTACTACTATGTTCTCTGGAGTAGTAGGAAGAAAGAAGAACTGGATGGCAGAAAGCAGGGACTTGTGCCTATGTATATACTCCATTGCGCCACCGCAACCGCCTTCTTGAAAGTGATACGGAATTATAGTCAGACCGAGACTAGCGAAGCTCCGAAAGGCCTCGCTATAGTCAAGAATACACGCACTTCTCTCGACTCCCATACGCAGGCTGAGCGTGTTACGGCAAAGACTGGGTGTAATAACTTCCTGCTCAATATTGGTATATACAGTGGCCATCCAGTGCTTCGGCTCTGTGTAATCTGGTCAACCATGTTGCAATATCTCGATGCGTCTCTATATCCGTATTAATGCCTGGTTATCTAGTTGTGGACCAATCGAACCCAGGCTGCTCAGTAAGCCAAAAGCGGCGAGAGAGTCAGGTTCATATGAATGGGATATCTGGCCCCTGTACTCTGTAGTGACAGCGGTTAGGATGAACTGGTGATTTGACAGCAATCACCCTAAGTGCCTATCACCAGCTCTGATAAGTTGAAGCTGATGAGACTGAGAGTATGCAGCGTTTACAAGATGAGCTGAACGGCCGAACCGTCACAGATACATCTATTATGATATATAGGGCTATCTACCTGCATGTATGATGATTGGTCAGTGAGGCCCACTATAGTCAGGTTCTATCAGGTTCAGGTTCAAGGTTCTGACCTTTGGAACCTGAATCGGACCATTTCGAGGCCTAGCTGGTATAACCAGTGGATGTGTGATTCTGAGCTTCCTCACACCATATCTAAAGAAACAAAAGACTGCAGTAATGATGTACCTAATCAGCTGCATCATCACACAACTCATCTTTTACACAGTAGACGACTTCATCACTTCTGCCATTGCAGTCATTCTCCTGGGCTTCTTCCTTGGTCTGCTATTCCCTGAAGTCATGATTACACAGATGAAAATCCTCCTGAAACATCTCCATGTTGCAGCAGTGGTATTTGTGTGTGTGTGTGTGTGTGTGTGTGTGTGTGTGTGTGTTGGGGAGTGCTGGTGGTTGTACATTTCCATTTATCATGGGCGCGATTGCAAAGTTGCAGGGGATTGGTGTCTTGTAGCTGATGGTTTTGGTGATGCTTTGTTGTTGTTTGGTGTTGTGGCTCTCGCTTCTGATGATGCCGCCGGGTGCTAGGAGGATGATGGGTGATTCGCCTGCTGTACAATATGGCCACTGAGAAGTACTCCTAGCTAGCAGTGAAATAGACGTTATAATACCAATACCAAGTATTGACGGCCTGGTATTATTTTGTAGGAAGTTGCGATTTGTAAATGACAGGCAGCTGCACCCCCAGCGCGCCTTCTGTACCTGGAAAGGCCAAAGAAGCGAGATAAAACCGCAATCACCAAATTCTCAACTCTCACATTCTCTCGCATCAAAAAATTCATCCATTGATCTTCTTTTCGACTTAATTTTGTTAGCCGTTTATACAGTGATTAAGCGACAATCGCATATATCGCTTGGTCAACTCTCAAGCCCTCACCCTGCGGTATAAGGTCTTCCAGCACGATCATCGCATGTCGCACGTCGCATCCTCTTCCACCCGTCCCACTGCTTGAAGCGTCCGTGTATATTCGTCTGGGGTGGTTATTTTGGACACTGCCAAGAACGGAGGCGTGGTTTTTTGTCATAAGGGATTTATTAGGAGCGCGTTAGGTGACATTTTGATCACGTCATTAAAAATGGATTTCAATCTTGGAATTTTGGACGTGAGTTTTGCCGTATTCCCATCTTCCTCCAATCGATATCTCGTGGTGTCTTGTTCGATCCGAACAGGCTGGGTTTGTCGCTAGTCATGGGAGATTATATACACCCATAAGAATCGTACACACCCAGCTGCAGCAGTCATCGTGGGATCATCCCAAATCGGAAGAAAACTCTAAAGCATTCCCCCTTTTGCCCGTCATAGCTAACCTTGATATCATCCAGACTCGTCCTGGCCCAATTCCAACAGGCATAGCGGCGAGCCCTTCATGGACACCAATGAGGATCGGTCCATCATCTGTCGGAAATTCACTGTCGCGAGACTGTTGCCAAGCCTCGACCGTCCAAGGTAAAGATGGATAAACCGACCACGACATCGACCCCGTCAACCGACCGGTCGACATCAAAATCCGAGGATATAATGGCGGATATAACATGCAATGACCCTATGAAGGTGAAACGCGCATTGAACGCCCTCGATCCTGCCCAGGTCCTTAGAGATCTAGAGAATCCGTACCGCCCCCGATGGACTGAAATCCTGGATGATTGGGCTGAGGTCAACATGCCTCGTTCGATATTCAAGCACTGGGAAGTTCGCCAGTTGGAAAGAGATAATTCTGTATACTGGGAATATGATGCGAAAAGGCAGCGGCTTGGCGTCAGGTGTCTGCCGACGGCGATCCATGAAGCAGCGCCAGATGCTTTCCGCGCACGCGCCTTCAAGGAGGTATTGCAGTTGAGTAGCGAAAGCCAGGATGTCTTCAAGATTGGATCAAATACAGGTATGTATTTTCCTTCTGAGAACCAGACGTGATCGTGAAGGAGGTTGCTTAGAGATGACCAGAGTTTGATGGCTTTGACTTTCCGGGGCTCCCAGTCTATCGCAAAAAAGAGCCAGATGCGTACATCAAATCCAAGGAAGGGGAGTTCCCGCTGGTTGTCTTGGAAGCAGGATTCAGTGAACGCGAGAGCGAGCTTATTCAAGATGCTCAGTTATGGCTCCATGGGAGCCGTGCAGCTGTCTCGTTTGTTCTTGTCGTCATCATTACTGAAAGCAAGTCTATCTGCGATGATCGTCGGAACCCTAAGCGGCACCTGAATGACGAAGAAGTAGAGGAGCGATTGGCGGATGGGACACAGATCCAGGAGAGTAACGGCACTGAATCTGAGCCATCCACATTGGACCAGTTGCAGTTTGCCGATGAACTGCGGCGCCTTAATGCCCAGAAGAAGCTGATGAAGCCCCTTATTGGCGATATTAAAGCTAACCTGAGTGTGTACCGCAAGGCTCGGGAGGGGGATGATGAAGGAAAAAAGAGAATAAGCGAGGAGTTTGCCAAAATCTCCATTATCCTCAGAGACGAGGCCGCCATCTATCCGAATGCTGACAAAAAAGCCATTGACCTGCCATGGAAGGAGATCATGGGGGATCAGATCAAAACTCTCGCCTTTGAAGATACAAACAAGAGTTTTACCCTCGAGCCGCAGCAGTTCAAATCCGAGATTGAGGAAGCCATCCGACTCACTGTGAAGAGGCGCGCCCGGCAGCGAGCCGGTGCCATCTTGGAGTGGAGGGGCAGGATTGAACCCGGTCCCACCTTTGGGGAACTGAAGAGGGGCATCACCAAAGGCAATGAGCCCTATGAACCATCGGATTGTTCTGATGGGGATGATGAAGGCCCAAGAGTCAAGAGGAAGAAAGTAAACTCGTGACTCTCATTCTTATATATATCCTTTTTGGAGGGAAGGGAGGGGCATCTATATATGTTAGAATCAACAAATCGCTGCACTTTCCTGGTTTTCCTAATACGCCTTCCTCATTCACTTCTCCCCCTTTCACCATCGGCATGGTGATGGCAGTGATGGAAGAAACCATGTCTACCGCTTTATTCTGCCGTACGTGTCTATTTTACCGCTGCCAGTAATACAGACTGCTTCAGCGTCATCCACCATTATCCTTCTGCTTCTATTCTGTACTCCATCGACCAGTTCTCAATTCTCAATACAAAATGCTCCTGTTAGTTTCCGAGCCCGTGACACTTTCTTTGTTTGCTTGGATGGCTGCATTTGCTGCATCAGTGTAATGGCTCAGCACTGCATCAATGCCATCAATGCCATTATCAACAAACAGCATCAACATGGCAAATGATGCCACATGTCACGGGCTCGGAAACTAGCAGATAAAACGAATAATATTCATATCTAGACTAGGTAGCCTAACGATGAGAATATCGAATCTGGGGAAGAAGAAGAAAAGGAAATCTATCTAGGCGATGAACGGTCTTTATAGACATTTGTGTGGTGCGGCTTAAGCCCTTGTTTGCCCATATTGCTTGTATGGCATCGTTTGATATGTTGGCGCTGTTTGTCTGGCGTTGGGCCGTCACAGAAAGTGTAGCTTGTTGTTGGGCCCAGCCACAAGATGCAGAAGACGTCAAAACTGGACATTCTCTACAAGTCAGAATGGAAGACGACTACCAACAATGCAATGCACAAGTTGTTCCTGAAATGCATCACAAGAGTATACCATTCCTGATGATTGAGCCTGTCAATTAATGATAATGAAATTCACCATGGTTAGATTTCTTCAATGAAAGTATAACTCATAAGAATAAGAAAGACATACAGATCCTTTGTTAAGATAGTTCTTGGGAAACAGAGGAGGAATAAGTTTGAGATGTATTTGCTCCTGACATGTTTATACAATGTAGTAGTTATATAACATAGTCACAGGATGATATGATTGTATGAGACAAAGATATTCAAATTTCCATTCAAGAAAGGAGAAGAAAGAAAAATGTGACAGCTCACACATGATAGCTCACATATAACGGCCCAGCATCGCATCAACGGATGATACATCACAAATGCCGCTATACAGCCCTGCCACCAACAACCCCTATAAAAAACCTCTTCATTATCCAGATAGATTTCCTTTTCTCTTTTCTTCTCCAGATTCGATATTCTCGTCGATGGCTACAATAGTTTAGATAGGAACATCGATTCAATATTATCTACTATTCCGAGCCCGTGACAAATATAAATTGCAACAATGGTGATTTTACGACAATAGAGCTTTGAGACGCTGATGAGACTATCTCTAGATACAAGCCAGGCTTTTAAAGGGCATGATCATAAGAGCTTCCAACAGAGTTGGTATCAAGCAACCGCGTGATAGAGGAAATTTCAGGATTGTACACTTGCAACAGCGGCCTTGGTCACTTGGGATATAGGTGACTTGTCACTGCTGATAATAATAAGCTTGTGCTTGTGACGGCTCAACGCCTCGACGCCGCCTCAGCGGCCGGTATCAACAAACGCCGCCATCTTGGCTAGCAAACAAAGAAAGCACTAGCGCAGCCACGCTACCCATAGTTAGATAAAACCCCTTTCTTCCTGTAGATAGATTCTTCTATGCTGAATCCTTTATCAATCCCGATCTCCTTCAATCAGACGACCTCCCCGATATACTGAGTATTCAACCAACTGTGACCTCATTCCCTACCTCCCAATTCATGCACCCTCCGCAAATATCTCTTGCCCCTACATATTTTACGCGGGTCGGGCCTCACTTCCGAAAGTTCAAGGGTGCTTGGCATCTCTGATCCCCAACAGGATGGTCTCCATTGCAGTCCAGACATCGTGCTCTAACCCCAGGCAAAAAATGACAGTGTTTGTGTTCGCCAGCACAGTGACTGCACCGAGCTCTTTCTTTACATGACCACGCTAGGTACCCCTGCCGTTGGCAGCAGTGGCATCTTTTTCGCTTAATCTGGTAAGCCTCAATGCTGCCAATGTATCTCTGTCCCACAAGCAGCCCATTATTGATCACCCATTCCGCTGCTTCTGGTGAGTCGAGCCAAATGCCTAGCGAAGCTGATGTACCCAGAGGCTTGTTGTTCCTTTTGAGCCACGCGATGTCCTCCACTTGGTATCCCTTGGCTGAAGTCTTCAGTTGGGGTGCGGTGGACTACAATGCTGAAATGGGGGTTCACTAGCTTCGTGTCATTGCTGAGTTCCCCTAGCCATTCTGTGTTGGTCCAAGCCGCTTCAGTGAACTGGGCATCCCTGAATCTAATAATGTATCCTGTTTTGGTTGTTCCAATACCTGCCACCTGCACATCTTTAGTGCTGTGTGCATTCAAGAGAGCCGTTCTGATGCGCGTGTTAGCTGTGTCTGTTGGTAGGTATCATGTGAATCAGTTTCCTTCAGTGGTATTGGTGTCCGTGGTGCGCCGTGTGCTGATTCAGACGCAGTGAGGCTCCTTCCAGGGCTGTGGGGGGTTGTTCACCGGTCGCGCCTCGGTTTGAACCCGGAGGGCCTGGATCTCCTCTTGCGGCTCTGCATTCTGGCGACCAACGGACCAGCGGCGAGTTGTTGCCCCGACCGCCGACCCCTGCTCCGATGCCAAGGCCGAATGCGGTAAGGACCCCGTAATTATGCGTGCTTCCCCAACGACCGGTTCGCTTATGCTCCAATGCCGACCCGACTAGGCCGAGTTATGCCTGGCTCGGAGTAATCAATGTAAAATATCCGGGTTGCAAGTCTGGTTCTCGGATACGGGATCTTACGGGTCCGTGCAAATCCTGTCAGATTGTCGGATTATACTGGCAGTTATGCCCAATTATGTTTAGGGCAGTGCGAAGACGGTTCTGGAACTGGCAAACAGGGGCTCTTTCCGACATCCTTTATACTCCTCGGAATGCCTTCTTTACTCTGTTTCTTGCATCCATCCACCTGTCACTGTCATTCCTCACGTCTCATGTCCCGCCAAAATGGACATCTTCAGTGAGAAAGACCATCGGAATGATGGCAGCACAACTGAACACGAACGGCAAGATGACAGCGACCTCACCCCCACAACCTCACAACCAGCGCGCATCGCTCCAGAAGAAGAACACTATCTCTCGCAGTTGGCCAGCAGACGGACCAACACTGGCATTGAACTAGTCAACTCTCTCGCCAATATCTCCCCCGATGACCCCGCCCTCAACCCCGACAGCAAAGACTTCGATCTCTACAAATGGCTTCGGAAAACACTACACCTGCTGAAAGATCAAGGCATCCCACGCAAGCAAGCCGGTATTTTTTTCGAGAATGTTAGAGTCACAGGAACTGGAGCCGCGCTGCAGTTGCAGATGACTGTGGCCGATCTCTTCACTGCCTTTCTTCGACCACGGGAAACGTTCGACTTTCGCTCCAAGGAACCCAAGCAGATCCTCAAGCAGTTCGATGGTGTTTTGGACAGTGGAGAACTCCTCATTGTGTTGGGTCGGCCTGGGTCGGGATGCAGTACCTTTCTCAAGACTCTCACCGGAGAGCTCCATGGACTCAAGCTCGACGCGAGTCAATCGGAGATCAACTACAGCGGCATCCCGCAGAGCACCATGATGAAGGAGTTCAAGGGCGAGATGCTATACAACCAGGAAGTTGAGAAGCATTTCCCCCATCTGACCGTCGGGCAGACGCTCGAGTTTGCCGCTTCCGTGCGCACGCCCTCTAGCCGACTCCAGGGCATGTCTCGCGAGGAATATGCGAAGATGATGACCAAGGTGGTCATGGCGGTGTTTGGCTTGAGTCATACCTACAACACCAAGGTGGGTAATGACACCGTCCGTGGTGTTTCAGGTGGTGAGCGCAAGCGTGTCAGTATTGCGGAGATGGCCCTGGCCGGTGCGCCTCTGGCTGCGTGGGACAACGCCACGCGTGGATTGGACTCGGCGACAGCCCTGAAGTTCGTGCATTCCCTGCGACTGGCCGCGGATCTCGACAACTCTACCCACGTGGTCGCCATCTACCAAGCCAGTCAGGCTATCTACGACCTCTTCGACAAGGCCACTGTGCTGTATGAAGGACGCCAGATTTTCTACGGTTCCGCCCGCCACGCCAAAGCATTCTTCGAACGCCAGGGCTGGTACTGTCCACCCCGTCAGACGAGCGGCGATTTCCTCACTTCCGTCACCAACCCCGTCGAGCGTCAGCCTCGCCAGGGCATGGAGTCCCAGGTGCCCCGGACGCCAGACGAGTTCGAGGCCTACTGGCACAGTTCCCCAGAGTATCAGGAACTCAAGCGCGAGATGGCAGCTCGCAAGGACGAGACGCCCGCCCATTCTCAGGAGAAACTGCGCGAGTTTCAGGAGCTGAAGCACCAGCAACAGGCGGCTCATACACGCGACGCCTCGTCGTACCTCCTGAGCGTGCCTATGCAGATCAAGCTGAACACCAAGCGCGCGTACCAGCGTGTTTGGAACGAACGCTCTGCAACAATCACCGCATTTATTTCCAACTGTGTCATCGCGTTGATTGTTGGATCCGTCTTTTACGGCACTCCGAATGCGACTATTGGCTTCCAACAGAAGGGTGCCCTGCTATTTTATGCTGTCCTGCTCAATGCCCTGATGGCCATGACGGAAATCAATAGTCTGTACTCTCAGCGCCCGATCGTCGAAAAGCACAACTCGTTCGCCTTTTACCATCCATCCACTGAAGCAATCGCGGGTATTCTAAGCGATATACCGGTCAAGTTCTCTCTCGCCGTGGCATTCAACCTCATCTTGTACTTCCTGGGTAATCTCCGCCGCGAGCCCTCTCAGTTCTTCATCTACTTCCTCATCAACTTTATGGTCATGTTTGTCATGAGCGCCGTCTTCCGCACTTTGGCCGCTGTCACCAAAACCATCTCGCAGGCCATGACCTTAGCAGGTATTATGATTCTCGCTCTGATCATCTACACCGGCTTCGTGGTTCCCACGCCCTATATGCATCCCTGGTTTAAATGGATTCACTACCTCAATCCTATCTACTACGCCTTCGAGATTCTATTGGCAAACGAGTTTCACGGCCGCGAGTTCACCTGCTCTGAGCGTATACCTGCATATAATAACATGCAAGGTGATACCTGGACTTGCTCCTCGACTGGTTCTGTTGCTGGCCGTGAGACCGTCAGTGGTGATGCCTTCTTGTGGCAGTCGTATCAGTATACCTATACCCACGTGTGGCGGAACTTTGGTATCCTGATCGCCTTCCTGGTCGGGTTCTTGGCTATCTATTTCGTTTCTACCGAGCTCAATTCCTCTACGACTAGCTCCTCCGAGGTCCTGGTCTTTCGTCGCGGGTACGTGCCTGCCTGGGCCAGAGGGAACACCGACTCCAAGGACGAAGAAGCCGGCAAATCGACCGTGACTGCCGAACGGCATGAAGACAAGAAACAACAGGCCATTGCCATGGCCCCGCAAACGGACGTCTTCACCTGGCGCGACGTTACCTACGACATCGAGATCAAGGGCGAACCACGCAGACTACTCGACCACGTCTCCGGCTGGGTGAAACCAGGTACCCTCACGGCACTGATGGGTGTCAGTGGCGCGGGTAAGACAACCCTCCTCGATGTTCTGGCACACCGCACCAGCATGGGTGTAATCACGGGTGGCATGTTCGTCAACGGCAACTCGCTTGATTCGAGTTTCCAGCGGAAAACGGGCTACGTCCAGCAGCAGGATCTTCACCTGGAGACGTCGACGGTTCGGGAAAGTCTGCGGTTCAGTGCTATGCTTCGACAACCGGACTCGGTATCCAAGGAGGAGAAGTACGCCTATGTGGAGGAGGTTATCAAGATGTTGAACATGGAGGACTTTGCTGAGGCGATTGTTGGTGTTCCCGGTGAGGGATTGAACGTGGAACAGCGGAAGTTGTTGACTATTGGTGTGGAATTGGCTGCGAAGCCGAAGTTGTTGCTGTTTTTGGATGAACCTACTAGGTATGTCTCCCTTTCTCTTTCTTACTTTTACTAAATTACTGACGTCTGGATAGTGGTCTCGACTCCCAGAGCTCCTGGGCTATCTGTAATTTCCTGCGAAAACTCGCCAACGCCGGTCAAGCCGTCCTGTGCACAATTCACCAACCTAGCGCAATCCTTTTCCAGGAATTCGATCAACTTCTCTTCCTCGCCCGTGGCGGTAAAACGGTGTATTTCGGGCCAATTGGTGACAACTCGCGAACCCTCCTGGACTACTTCGAAGGCCACGGCGCACGACCTTGCAAGGACGACGAGAACCCTGCCGAATACATGCTCGAGGTCGTCAACACTGGTGTCAACCCATCAGGCGAAAGCTGGTTCGATCTTTGGAATAACAGCACCGAATCGGCCGGAGTCCAAACCGAGATCAACCGCATCCATGAGGAGAAAAAGAACGACACTGCACCAATGGAGTTGGGTGAAGGAGCAGACCTCCGCGAGCAAGAAGAATTCGCTATGCCACTATCGAAACAACTCCCCATCGTCATGCTTCGGGTTTTCCAACAATACTGGCGTATGCCCATGTACGTCGTCGCCAAGATGATGCTGGGTCTCTTCTCGGGTCTCTTCATTGGTTTCTCGTTCTTCCAAGCGGACACTTCAACCCAAGGTCTTCAAAACACCATCTTCTCTCTCTTCATGGTCTGCGCCATTTTCTCCTCGCTTGTGCAGCAAATCATCCCTCTCTTCATCACCCAACGCGCTCTCTATGAGGTCCGCGAACGGCCCAGTAAGACATACAGCTGGAAGGCGTTTATGATTTCCAGCATCGTCGTTGAAATACCCTACCAGATCATCATGGGCGTGCTAGTCTACGTTTGCTACTACTACGCTGTGGTTGGTGTGCAGTCGTCCGCCCGCCAAGGTCTCGTCCTCCTCTACTTCATCCAGTTCTTCGTCTACTCAAGCACCTTCGCGGACATGGTTATCGCCGCCCTTCCGGATGCCGAAACCGCCGGTGCCATTGTCACCCTCCTCTTCTCCCTCGCGCTGACCTTCAACGGTGTCATGCAAACGCCGGAAGCCCTCCCCGGCTTCTGGGTCTTCATGTACCGCGTCTCCCCATTCACCTACTGGGTCGGCGGCGTAGCCGCAGCAATGCTCCACGGAAAGGAGGTGAAATGCAGTGCCGTCGAGATGGCCGTGTTTAATCCACCCGCCAACCAATCCTGCGGTCAGTACATGGCCGAATACTTGAAGGTTGCACCCGGGTACTTGGAGAACCCCGAAGCGATGGCGAACTGCGAGTATTGCTCTATGTCGAGTGCGGATCAGTTCTTGACCGGGGTGAAAATTAGTTGGGATGATCGGTGGAGGAACTTTGGTATTTTCTGGGCTTATCTTGTTTTCGATATCGTTGTTGCCGTTGGACTTTACTATTGCTTCAGGGTTAAGCAGTGGAATTTCAGTTTTGGGAAGAAGAAGGCTTAATTTCTGAGTTATGTGGTGATAGGGGGTGATGAATATCTTTTTACTTTTAATGTGCTTAATAATATAGACATAGATAGTTAACGTTAGTTACTTCAAAAATTGCTAGTTATAGAATAATGTTTTATCAAGTATCGGATATCATCAATATAAGAATTCAATCCGCAACTACATAGTGCTCCCTACACTTGACATGTCTTTATTGTATAGGCTCGGTCAAAAGAGGGGGAGTGGCAAACTTCTGGCGTGCATCCTACTGTACTAATGTTGACTTCTATATACACCGACGGCTGATATTACTATACAGAGTACTCTCAAAAACCCACTCCGTAGCGCTAAAATCGTGAGCATCTGCTCGCGAATTCCCAGCCAACTAACGAGTACAAATACGGTTGCCACCAATCCTATGCCCGAAATCAATATGGGGGAAGCTCCGAAGGCCTGTGAGGCCCCGACCGCTCCCCCCGCCCCCCCGGGAGCCCTCCACCCCGAAGCGACCGCCCAAACGACCGAGACCTGAGACACCGAAAAAAGCTATACAAGCCCCTCCTACCCCCAAGAACTGGTAACCACCTGGACAGCCTGACCGGGATACGTCCCCCTCTTACGAAGCCCCCCAAAAGCCAATTGGGCCTAGAACTCCAAAGCCACATTGCAGCTGCAGTGGCATCGCGCACAGCAGAGATAAAGACTACTGGAGAGGAAGTCCTAGAGCTTGTTTCTACAATAAGTCGGAAGGTCTCAAGCTGGGAGGAAAGGAGCCTTAGGGAAGCAGCATCCTTGGGCAAAAATATCAGGACCCTGGTCCTCAATTTTCAGCAAGAACCTGGCAACTGGAGACCCCATCAAAGAGGAAGAGAATCACCGACCCTCCCCCTCCATGCACAATAGCTATGCTGAAGCTGCAAGAATCCCATTCAACACCCCCAAGACACAGCCCAAGGTACCCAAGACCCCACACAAGTCACCACAACTGGAGGAGCCTCCTCGCATTTTTCTCCGCCTCCCCAAAGATCACCCAGCCTGCCGAGCTAGCCCGTACGCCACTATGGATACTGAGGAAACATTTGGACAGGACCTGTTCTGCAGCTGAGAAAGAGGTCCAACAGGTGCCCTCTGGCCTGGGTCTCCAGCTCCTCATGGAACGTAGGGAGGCTCTGGAGGGCCTCTTACAGGAATCCAAGGTTGAAGTCGAACAGAAATGGGCCATCTTCGCCCTACCAAACGTACAACAGCAGTTTATCAGCTATGATGGGACTCAAGTCCCGATAAATGAGCAGATGGCATTGGATGAATTCAAGCTACAGACAGCCCTCTCCCCCCCGAAGTTCTACTTTTCAAACAAAAACCCACTATCTAGTACTCTCATCATGGCTGTCCCTGAAGACCAGGCCCGAGCAGTCCCAAAATGGATCAATTGTCACGGGCTCGGAATAGTAGATAATAACGAACTGAATTTCTATCTAAACTATTATAGCCACCAACAAGAATATCGAATCTAGAGAGAAAAGAAGAAGAGGAATCTATCTACAGGAGAAAAGGGGTTTTATCTATGGGTAGTGTGGCCGCGCTAAGTGCTTTCTTTGTTTGCTTGCTCGGATGGCGGCGTTGAGGTGTTGAGCCGTCACACCTTGTCCTTTCCATTCCTGCCTTGCATGACTGTAGTTCCTGCAGGCCTCTTTAATCTCTGGTCCCTGCCAGCGCTTTGATTATGGGATCACCCGCAGCTGCTTTGCATGTCGATTTAGTACTGTTGTCAGGGCTTCCTGGATCCATATAGCCTCCCCAGCTAGGTCTTCTGCTGAGCAAGTCTCTCCCAGATAGGGCCTAGATTGTGCTCTTGTTTGCCAGTCCCACTTGGATTCCTCCAGAGCTTGTGGGTTAGCTTGAAGTGCTTGGATCTGCCATCCTGTTACATTTTGTGGGGTTGCTGTGACGTCTTGCTTTAGAGGGGTCCATTCCATAACTATCACTTCATGGTCTGAGCCAGTTGAATGCTCTTGGTCAATAGTCCACATCTCCAGAGGCCCCATACTGACCATAATCCACCCGGCTAAGAATATATTCCCAGTGAGTTTCCGAGAAGGGGATCAGCACTCCCAGCCCGGGGAGCAGACCCCAGGGAACCGGAGATGGGCTGAGAGCAGCAACCGGGGCCCATGGTCCCTGGGACAACACCTAGCTCGACAACTAGCCAACATCCTACCAGCAGACCCATCAGCCGTACGTTGATATATTGTGACGCATCTAAAAATATAACACATTGGTTCTTATGACAGTTCGTATTCCCATCTCCTGGGGAAATTGAATGCTACTGACCAGATTAGTACGGCAAGACACTGAGAAATAAATACAGCCGATACACGCGGAAAGACATCTGAGCATAGCAAATAGCTAGACCAAACTAAAGTAAACCGAATTTAGAGATGAAATGAAAAAAAAAAAAAAAAAAAAAAAAAAAAAAAAAAAACTATGCCTGATTGGAATGGTTCCAGCTGTACTTAGTATAATGCATTCCACGACCTTATCACGGCGTATTCTCTCCTTACTCGCGAATCAAGGACCAGCCGCAAAAACCCACCTTTACAAACCCGGTCTTTATTGTTGACAAGGATCCAGCTATCTCGGGTACATTCTAGGGTCCTCGGGCCCCTCAACTAGCCCATTTTCTCTCCATTATGACTTATATAGCCCCAGGGAACGCCCCGTTCATTAGATAGTTCCCTAGACAAGAATACATCTTCATATCGAGTCACTATCCTCTATCGGAGCGCTCCCTTCTTAGCTCAAACAATTATCAACGAATAGGACGTGCTATATTATGATTGGACTCAACGAAACAACAGACGAATTTCCAAACAACTTTTCGCGTATTTTATAAGACATCGTAGGCAAAATCATGGTAAATCCACAACCGTGTGCTCTGACCATCATGGGTCAATATAGTCATACCACAAATCATACATCACACTCTGCCCAGCCCTCCCACTCTGCGAGATCGACGCTCCCTCAAAGCCCTCAAACCCGTTGACATAGAATAACCTCGGAGCCAGCTCCATGCGTCGATCCCATTTCACATCATAATTCACGATGGGAATGCCATTCGGCCAATACCGGCGATGGACCCATCGGACAGTAGGCCTATTGACGCAGCCTATATTTCTCAAATACCATCCATCATTTTCCTCACCTTCAAGCTCGCGCCAGTTGATTTCTGCCGCCTTGGCCTCAAATTCTGCATACATAAGGTCCGGCTTGGGTGGGTTCACTCCTAAGTCCAAGACCCAGTCCTTCCTGATTGGGTAACACGCTTGATGAGGGAATGTAACATCGTCCGGGGCTTGTCTGCTAGCGTCCATCAAGTTAGCGATGTCGCTATCGGAGATTGGGTTAAGTGAAATGATTCTATATTGGTTTTCCATGTCAACTGTGCATCCAGCCGCGTAGCTTGAATCCTCTCGAGTGATTGCTAGAAATGAAGGAAGGGGAGACAGCCGTGCCGCGTGTTGTGCTTGGTCAACATTCAGATTCAAGATCGTGTCAGGGATTTCGTTGTTTTGAGATAGATTGAACGACTTGGGATCCAGCCGATGGCGGGTTATGAAGTGCGTTACATGGAGAGGAGTATAGTTAACTTCCGTCGGGGGCAATGGCAAGGGAGGCTCGATAGTAATGCCGGATTGATGAAAGGGGGCTGCAATGACCACAGAGTCGACCCGATCGACGTGCGCTTCGGTCTGACCATCCGGGGATTTTTTGGTCCAATGAATATCGAATGTAAGATCCGCATGCCTCACAACCCGAGTCACGGTGGAATTCAAATTTAGCTCCGCTTCAGCCACCCTCACTGCTCTCTTCAGTAGCCTCGCATTTCCCCCGTTCCATGGATATGTTCTCTTATGTGGCCAGAGTTCAATACCCCACAACTCCGCAAACTCCTGCATAGCGTCCGATGCTCCCTTATTCACTTGAGTTGTTGGCTTTGGGACTGCCCAAGCCCAATCCTCCTCGCACCCCTCTGTGTCACCCCAGCGCTTTTCGCAGATGTACATAGCGACTTGACTTGGGAGCTTCTTCAGATAAGTCCACATGGTCGGCGCCTGTTCGTACTGGCTTCTGATCAATTCCTCACCGTTCCAAGCTCCTACTCTCACCAGGATGTCGTCGGACGTTTCACCAGGATACATGTTTTGAATAGGCACACCCACGTCTTCCGCTATCCTTGCTGCGGATCCCCCGTATATTCTCCAGTCAAACGTATATCCTCCCGCCTCGGTTACGTCGCAGTCGTCCTCGTCGTACTTGGGGACGGAGTGGATCCGACCTCCCAGACGACCTTCCTTCTCGAAGATAGTCACCTGTGGAGAATTGACACGACAGTTTTCCGGCCCGAATGAATGTGCGACGGAGACACCGCCCATACCACCTCCTGCGGATTGTCAGCACAACCACATCGCCACTTTAAGAGAGACAAAATGTAAAAAGGATTATACCAATGACGGCCATATTTTTCGGTGGATAGACTTCCACGCTTGCATTGGCCTTGATGTATAACGGTTCGTTGAAAATTTCTTCAATCCCGGATGGGTCATCGTAATACATCGAGTTCCTTCTGCGGTAGCTTTGGCGGTATCTGTCAATAGATACACCTTCGGATGTGCACAGTTGTATTGGGAGAATGAGACTGCAAAGAACGGTAAGAAGTAGTGGGAGCCGATAAGGCTGCCGACCACCCCTGGGGCGTTTGAGAGGGCTTGACATTTCTATCTGATCAACTTCAAAATTGAGTGCTAAAAAACTCAATGCATTGGGCTTCTTGCAGATATTAGAAAGGACCACCACACTGTCCCAGATCTTAACACCGTGGCTTGGGGTCATCACCACCTTGTTTGGACCATGCGGGGTTGTTGGAGTGCAGGGCAACCAATACAGATCAACAAATAACGCTAACTTGAGGGTCGTAAGTGGGATCCAAAGCAGATATTAGATAAGCACAAGTTGTCGTTTTCTGTTCTCCTTGTTGGTTTGTCCCCGCAAGAGCTATAGTTTTGCTCATCCAATATTCATAACCATCCGAGTATTGGGATATCGAGCGGCTATTCCTCCTAGCTTTCGGTATACAGGCTGTACTAATCCACAAACTAAAATTGTAATTTGGATGTCTATTTGAAATCTTCCGAGTTAAAGAAAGTATAAAAGGGTTACTTCCCAAGACTAGGAGAATAGGTATATGGAGGCCCAGAAATTATTTTTTACTGTAAAGTCCCTTCGGTACTCACTTCTGAATGTCCGCCCGGCAATCATCTACGGGGCATCGCCCGTCGTCGGCCGGTGCTTCGTTGGGGAGATAGATAACATCATAATCACGACGGCATTGTGTCAACAATTGTTCCGCAAAGAGCAGTCTTTCATCAAAGGAGAGTGGCTCTGTGGAAGACAGAGTCGCTGCTAAGCGTTCTAATTCAGGTATGATAAGGGCCAGAGCATGCATGCACGTGTTGCTCTCTGGGAATTCCGGGTCATTCCTTCCTTGGTTGAGGACTCGCCGATCTCTGCTTTCTTGAAACCACTCAGCTTGGTAGCAATACAGCTTGGAGAGTTGAATGCGAGTGTGCAGCTTCCTATATTCATGTTTCTCAAACCCAGCAGCTGCAAAATCTGCTTTGGTGACTAGTTCCTGGATGCGATTTCTGGCTTTGATGAGCTCAGGTCTTTCTAAAATGGCTTCTTTCATCTCAGCAGGTAGCTCAGAGGGAAACCCAATTGCCTGGAATTGTCTGTAGCCCTGGAAGTAGGCTATGTGATACATCTCTTCCTCCTCATCCAGAACGTCACTGGCGGTGTTGATTGATGAACAGTGTGCCTGGTAGTGTTCCAGGTAGGTTGACTCAGACTGATGAGTGTATATTTGGGACATGGGTGCGGAGCCATGTCTTGCTGTGGATGTCTTAGCTCTCATTTTTACATTGGGGTTGATCAAATTTATGGCACACCTTCAATATTCTTGCCCAGCTCCCGACTGATATCATGGATTGTAGCATTCTTGGAATAGCCAGCTGCAATAAAAAGTGAACAGAGGAAGGAGCAAAACCTCTCTTTGTTGAGGGGAACCTCCTGTGGGCCTTTGGCGGTGACATTTCTAAACACTGGTTTGTTCAGAGCATTTGTCTTCCAGTGTAGCAGAAGTTCAGTAGTCAGCCCATCATGAAGGTCAAATTGAGCCAAGTCATCCAGTGAATCGATGCCAAAGAGAGCCCCATGCGCAAGAGCAATAACAAGAAGCAGGATACTGGATGCAAATTGTGGTCTGTTGTTATCATGAATTCCAATACCAAATCTAACAAGCCAGTCAACAACAACGCGTGTGATACAGCAATAAATCCATGCATGTCATTTTGAATGCACTTCTGTATAATTTGGGTTTTGGTTCTTTTTTAACCATTGCTGGTTGATCCGCCAGCCTATCTTCCAAGGTTTGTTTTGGTTCGGACTACAGAACAACATCAGCTCGATATGCTGCGGAAGTGCGGATGGTCAAAAGGAGAATACTCATGGACAAGGGAATCCAGGCTTGATCATCTCACCTTATATCAGAGGCCCCTCTGACTCCTGTATTTTGCATTTGGAATGAAAGCACCAATCCTTGCTTCCATGAATAGAAACACCTGTAGTGCAAATAGGATAAACACCTTTGAGAAGCCATGCAGAAAGACAGGGCTATCACAGGTCCACATTGAAGACACAAGATCAGTGAAATCATTCCTAGTGAAGTTGAACTTTTTTTTCTTGGTGCCCTCAATTTCACTCTCTGCTGTCCAGGTCCTTTTAATCCACTCCAATCAATTAGGACACTGGCTCTCTTTTGAATAGGATCTGCATACTGAATATATCTCTGTGCGATCATCTTGCACAATCTTGCTGCCTGTTGCTTCCTCAAAGCTGCCAAAGAACCTTTCAGCACATGATAAGGTGGTCCTTACACTGGCCAGTCTGTTTTGACTGAGACGCCCCATGCCCCTGACAGTACGGGCATATGAGCGAATAAAATCTTTGATGATGACAATAGGCTTTTGAAACATAGCCATTTGCTGCCCGGCGCTCACGGCGCTTTCTTTTTACCTCTTCATCTCAGAAGAAACTTCTTTTGCCCATCATCTTGTCGGCAAATTGGGAAAGGCATGGCCGCATGAGTGTGGAAGATTAATGGGAATAAGACAATTAAAGATGTAAGTAAGAAGAGCAAATAAAAGGAGTAATCGCCGATGAGAACTTACTTCCATGAAATTAATTGCCTTGAAGAGAGGGAAATACCTGCATTTATAGCTTTGTTGGGAACCCATCTTCATATTAATTTATGTTTGAGAGCCTCAGGCTCCAATATTCCCCGCTCCTGATTGGCCCGCACTAGCGAGCCCATACACATATGCCGGATAGAGCAGATCCACCCTCATCCATCTAGACAGCTACAGAATACAATAGTATCGTCAATGCCTTTCCTTGCCATAGCCTGATCCACAATTTACAGTTGTCCTGGGTGTATAATTCGCTTAGAGTTCACCACTTAGGATTTAACTAGTCTCCATCAACTTTCTACTTGCGTCATCTTGTATGGTAGGTTGGATGACCTGGGCAATCTTGAGGGCTGTTCATCAGACATGGCTGTCCAACTACCCGCGCACAATAAAGGGCGGGTGAGCAGACCCTGCGTCCTCACTGAGCGGTCATCCATAATGTGAAATACTCACTGAGCAAGCCCCTGAGTACTCTCATTAAAGCGGTGGCGTCCAGAAGAGGAAAGCCACGGTCGTTCTAGAAAAACAGGTACGTATAGGCACATCTATATTCCCATAATGTCATGAAATCATCATTTCTGCCTCACCATCTTCCAATTTTTCATCTCTATTCCCAATATCAGCCGCAGCTCCACCAACAACCCAATGATCCCTCTTATCATCCGCCCATACCGGCGTCCCAGGACCCCCAATGGTAGCTGCATTGGTAGCCGGGGCAGGAGCAAGATCTGGCAAGAAATTTCCGAGTGTGATGGAACAATCGATTCCTAATACAGATTTAGATTGTTCCAGTAATCTTGGGAAGAGATAAGACTGCGAGCCTCTGATGCGTGATAAGGTAGTCAGGATGCCCCAGAGGAGTTCGCGGGTGTCTGCGCTTGGGATGGGGGGTTTAGGTGATTGGGAATGGGGCGTTGTGGTTGTGGTTGTTAGGTTTGTGAGGGCTGAGCCTAGGTCGAAGAGTTTTTGTTCCTGCACTGAAAATTAGCATCACCAGGGTAAGAAGTGATAATAAGAGAGAGGAGGGGGTACCATTCCAATCCCATGCGCGTCAACGGCGCCCTGAGATGCAGCCCCGATGACGCTCATAACGGCTTTGCCGACGACTATGGGGAGGTTAAAGGGGAGCATTGCTCTGCCATCGCTTTTGCCAGCATCCGGACCGTATCTTGACAGCTTCCACATCATAGCCTGTAGCCACTGCTGCGTGATAAGAATATCGACCTGCTGGATCTCGAGCACACCCCGCAGAGAAGCAACGGGTGTATTGCAAAGACTTGATTGGATCGATGAAGCTGGTGTTGGAAGTTGGTCCTCATCGCTGCCTCCAGCTGATAACCAGTCATATAAACTGACGGTGAGTTTCTCGAAGAGATTGATGAGGTTTATGAAGCCATATGCTAGGATTGGATCGTCGGAACCAAGAACTTGCGGTTTTTGGATTGAGTTGCGTAGCATGACAGGCCTCGATTGTTGGAGGGCGTATCCTCTTCTCCATTTAGCACTATGTAGTCGGGTAGCTTTTGAAAAGGTGGCCTACCGTTCGGTAACAAAGAGTAGCCAGAAGACTCGTCGCTTTTCTTCTGCGTCTTCGATGTTTAGGCCCGTGTATGTTGATTCGCGGTGTAGGCCTAGGGTGAAGACCATGGAAGTCGCCTGACAGAGGTAGAACCATGCCTGCTTCTGTTTATTCAGATTGCCGTACGAAGCGAACAGGAATAGCGATGTCAAGAGACTTTCCACGTCCATTTCTTCGACCACGTCGCATTCATTCCGTGCACGCACTGCCTCTGCGAGCAATTCTTCCCCAGACATCAATCCTTGTCCATCGACTGCAGTAGCATCCGATCCTGGTCCCCCGTCCAAGTTTAATTGTATATGTGTCGTCGCACACAACGCCGCCAAAAATGCATACCGTTGCGCAGACACCCGCTCCGGATGATGGCTATCGCGTTGTAATTCATCGCGACGCACGACGGGCATGATCGGGAATAAATATTTAAGGAAGACATTGACGTGCGCGAGGATGATGGGCGAGGTTAAGCGTCGCGCATATGGCCGGATGTTGCTGGAGTAGTCCGAATCGGTCGAGGAGTCGGGCGGGGAGGGAACGATCTGGAGGGGTTGGAATTGGAATTGATGTTGATATTGGAAGAACGACGATGGTGCTGATAGGGATGCTGGTGCATCTTGTGGTGCATAATCGTTGTATCCTTCGTGTGCGGTCCTCGTATCTTCGGGGACTGTTGTCGGAGGTGGTAGCGATAGGGGATGGCTCGGCGCAAGAGGATATAGCGTGCGAAATTTGGGTCCCTTGCGACGCAGATTATCACTATATGAGCAGTTCAAAAGCAAATGGTTGCATTTATCGCACGGCAGGTCGCGGGAGCATTTGATCTTTCGGCGGCGACAGTTGTCGCAAGCCTGTTTGGTGGCTTTATTCGGCTGAGTCGAGTCCATGATGCTATTCTAGGATAGAGCGAGATGAATATAACAATAAAAGATGTAAGCAAACAAAAGCCATTATTTTGGCAGTCAGACCGAGTCAACGGTTTGAAGAAGAGAGAAGAATGAAAAATAATCTGGGGAAAGCGGGGAATGGTATGATCCCTCGTATTATGCGGGATGAGGTCTTTAACGGAGCTCGGGAAGCCGACAGGGGATGAAGAATACTTTACCCAAGCGATGTTATGCGCTGTTAAGACTAGGATAAGACTAAGATGGCACTAAGACAAGACTGCCGAGGGTTTCCTGTTTGGGCCAAGATGAAGCTTCGGGCATTTACCGGATGTGCGGCCAATCGGAGGCGGAGGGCGGCTCGCACTCTCCCACATATCGCTTAATTTCTCCGAGTTTACACCTACTCTTTTGCTACAGGGCAGTGTTCGGAGTCCTCCAGGATACAGCATGGTCAAAGAATAACCGCTTGAATAATGAATGCTTGCAGGTCAGGTCATTCTGAAGAAGGCATACTCTACGGTTCTAACTCGCCTTGGATGAGACCTCAGCAGGAATAAAACTACCGTTGCCCCAGTTTCCCCGGGATCAAAGCTTCTGCTCCATGCTCAGGACCCTGTATTCCTGGTTTCTCCGCAGAACCAATCCCGAGTGCGGGATGGCGGGTAATACCGAATCCCAACACTGACTCCGGGGTATCCTGATGTGCCCGTATACACACAGTTCTATACGCCAGTGAACAACAGAATACGGACTGTAGCCCTCGGTCATTCAACGGAGATGTGGCATCTACATCATAGAAACCTTGTCAAAAACAACGCATGCTCAGGGAATGAGACAACAGCAGATATAAATATCACACATGGCACGTAGAAGTTGCTTCGATCATCCGTCTCATCTCTCTGGTCCAGCAGTATGGCCAACATTGCGGGCCTACTCGCCAGCTCGTGGCTCCTATCCGGGGCCTACGGGGCAAGCTCTTCTACGAGTGCTTCGTACTCTCAATTTACAATTCCTACCGCCGCAGACGTCGGTGCGAATCTGATTGCCAACATCGACGACCACGAGGCTGTCAACGCCCAATCAGTCTGTCCTGGTTACAAGGCTTCCAATGTGCACCAGTCATCCAAGGGCTTCACGGCTACTCTAGAGTTAGCCGGAAAACCGTGCAATGCCTATGGAATTGACGTGGACTCATTGGACCTCTCAGTTGAATACCAGGCTAAGGATCGGTTGAATATATACATCGTGCCCAGTCATGTTGATTCGTCGAATGCGTCGTGGTATTTCCTTAATGAGGATGTCGTTCCTCGACCTAAGGCCTCTCCGAATGCGTCTGCTGCGTATAGTGATCTGGCCTTGGAGTAGTCAAATGAGCCATCTTTCAACTTCAAGGCTACGCGGAAAGCGACTGGTGATGTTCTTTTCAACACCGAAGGTTCAGTTCTGGTTTATGAGAACCAGTTTATCGAATTTGTGACTTCTCTACCGGAGGATTACAACATCTACGGTCTTGGAGAGCATTTCCAACAACTCCGGATTCTGCATAATGCCACCCTCACTGCTTATGGGTCTGACAATGGTAACCCGATCGACTCGTACGTCTTTTTATCTCCCTCTCTCCGGGATCAGGCAATTGACCATCTTCAGGAACCTCTACGGCAGCCACCCCTTCTACCTGGACACCCGATACTTCGAACAGAGCAAGAATGGCTCCCTCACCCCCGCCAAGGCTTCCGAAGCCGACCCCAAGAAGGAATACAAGTCCTTCTCGCACGGTGTGTTCCTGCGAAACGCCCACGGTCTGGAGGTCATTACGCAGCCCCAGAACTTGACCTGGCGGACTCTGGGTGGAAGCATCGACTTGACCTTCTACTCCGGCCCTAGTCAGGCTGAGGTCACCAAGAACTACCAAGTCAGCACCGTTGGACTACCTGCCATGCAGCAGTACAATACGCTCGGATACCATCAGTGTCGATGGGGCTACACCGGCTGGGCAGATTTGGAGAATGTGATTGCGGACTTTGAGAAGTTTGAGATTCCGGTGGAATATATTTGGTATGCAAATGCTTTCGCTTCACCTGGTGGTCTTAGCTAACATTGTCAGGGTTGGTATCGATTACATGCACGGATACCGTGACTTCGACAACGAACAGACCAACTGGTCCTACGAAGAAGGCGAGAAATTCCTCAACAAGTTACACGCCGGTGGCCATCGCTTCGTCCCTCTCGTCGACTCTGCGCTCTACATCCCCAACCCCGACAATGCATCTGATGCGTAAGCCTTCTTCACCCTCCCATAGAAACACATATTAACAACTGCAGCTACCCAACCTACGACCGCGGCGCCGCAGATGACCTCTTCCTCAAAAACCCCGACGGCAGCCTCTATATCGGCTCCGTTTGGCCCGGCTACACCGTCTTCCCCGACTGGCACCACCCAAAAGCCGGCAACTTCTGGGCCAACGAGCTATCCCTCTGGCACGAGAAAGTCGCCTACGATGGCATGTGGACCGACATGGGCGAATGCTCGTCCTTTTGCGTTGGAAGCTGCGGAACGGACAATTTGCACCTCAACCCTGCGCACCCGCCGTTCGCTCTACCGGGTGAACCGGGGAACGTGGACTACAACTACCCCGAGCGTTTCAGCAAGAGTAATGCCAGCGAAGCTGCATCTGCATCTTCAGCGGCTGCTTCGCAATCCGCCGCAGCATCCACCACCACATCCTCAACAACACAATCCTACCTCCGCAGCACACCCACCTCATCCCGCAACATAAACCACCCCCCCTACGTCCTCAACAACGTCCAACCAGGCCACGACCTCGCCGTCCACGCCATCTCCCCCAACGCAACCCACATAGACAACATCCCCGAATACGATGTCCACAACCTCAACGGCCACCGGATCCTTAGCGCAACATACTCCGGCCTCCTCCAGGTCTTCCCCCAAAAACGCCCCTTCATCCTCGGCCGCGCGACCTTCGCTGGATCAGGCAAATACGCAGCGCACTGGGGCGGAGATAATAATTCCAAATGGGCGGATATGTTCTTCTCCATCTCCCAGGCCTTATCATTCTCGTTGTTCGGTATACCGATGTTCGGTGCCGATACGTGTGGTTTCTCGGGGAACACAAACGAAGAACTGTGTAATAGATGGATGCAAATGTCCGCGTTCTTCCCGTTCTACAGAAACCACAACGTCATCAAATCTCTCCCCCAAGAACCATACCGCTGGTCATCCGTCACAGCAGCAACTAAGAAAGCAATGGCCATTCGTTACTCCATCCTACCATATATGTACACGCTCTTCCATTCAGCGCATACAACAGGCTCCACTGTCCTCCGCGCGTTGTCCTGGGAGTTTCCGAATGAACCACACCTCGCGTCTGTGGACACGCAGTTCCTCCTCGGCCCAGATGTCATGGTCGTCCCCGTCCTCGAGCCAGGTGTCGATACCGTCAAGGGTATTTTCCCTGGTCTTGCGGGGAGACAGATTGGAGTTTGATTGTTGCTACTAGTCGCAATGGGACTGCCAAGGGAAAACTGTATCTTGATGATGGGGAAAGCTTGGTTCCTAATGCCACAAAGCACGTTGATTTCGTTGCTTCGAAGGGGAGTCTGCGTACCTCTGTGCGTGGTAACTGGAAAGAAATCAATCCGTTGGCGAATGTTACTGTTCTTGGGGTTGAGAAGCCGAAGGATGTTGTGTTTAATGGGGAGATGGTTGATGAGGAGGCGGTTAAGTATAATGCTACGTCGAAGGTGTTGAGTGTTACTGGGTTGCAGGGGTTGACTGAGAATGGTGCGTTTGAGAAGAGTTGGGTTTTGAAGTGGTGAGCTTCGTTATGATTATGTACGTAAGACTACATGAATGCATGGATAAAAACGTCGTGTTCAAATGTAGTGTCATCGCATTGAAGTCTATATGAAAGCACCAACAAACGTCCGAAACCCCGGGGCTCAGCTCTACTAACGGGGTCCATCTAGACATGTATAAGAAAAAACACGCAGCCAACCACTAATATCAATATGATGTGATCCTGCGAGATAATCCAGAAAACTTTTTGACTCAATTTATTTTCATGGTCATCTCAAACATCCAATCATTACATGCAAGAAACATAAACAAAACCACTCTAGACAGCGCCGGCCTGAAGCATCTTCCTACGGAGGTGGTCCTTGTACTGTCCAATGGATCCGTCCCACCGGGTGACGGTCTGGTTTTCGCAGACCATGATGTCCTTGGCAATCTTGTCGAGCAGACGGAAGTCGTGAGACACGACGACGACACCACCGCTGTAGGCGTTGATGGCATCGGCCAAACTGTCAATGGTGGGAATATCGAGACCGTTGGTAGGCTCATCCAGCAGAATCATATTGGGCGACTCAATGGCAAGCAGGGCGAAGACGATACGGCTCTTCTGACCCTCCGACAGAGTACCCATGAGGGCCATCTGCGATTCACCAGAGAGACCGTAGCGGCCCAGCTGCTGACGCCAGTACTGGTAGTCCTGGCTCTTCTCGGGGAACCTGTCACGGACGAACTCGAGGGAGGACTTGGTCAAGTCGAGCTGCTCGGCGGAGTGCTGGGAGTACATGCCCAGCTTCAAGTGGGTGTGGCGGGAAACACGACCACCGATGGGGCTCAGCTTGCCGGTCATCAGACGGAGGAGAGTCGACTTGCCAACACCGTTGGGACCGACAAGGGCAGTACGGGAGTCCATGTCCACACCAAAGTCGAGGTTGCGGTAGAGGGTTTCATTCCAGTTGCCAGAGTAGGAGAAGCTAACATCGTCAAACGACAAAACAGGGGGAGGGAGCTTGTCGACATCGGCGAAACGGAACGAGAAGGTACGGTCGGGGATAACGGGCTGGATGAAACCATCGGCCTCCATCTTGTCCAGAATCTTCTGACGCGACTTGGCCTGACGGACCAAGTTGGCATATGTACCAGCCGAAGCAATGAACTTCTTGATGTGAGCAATTTCTTCCTGCTGTTTGGCGTAGGCCTTCATCTGGTTGGTCTCCTGTTCGGAGCGGGTCTTGTGGTACGAGTCGTAGTTACCACCGTAGTAGAGGAGCTGCTTCATACGCATATCAAGCATGTTGGTGCAGACACCGTTCAAGAAGTCCATGGAGTGAGAGACGAGAACCAGGGTACGGTCCCATTTCTTCATGTATTCTTCCAACCACACACAGGCTTCAAGATCCAAGTGAGCAGTGGGGTCGTCCAGAAGCAGCAGCGAGGGCTTGATGAAGAGGGCCTTTCCAAGGGCCACACGCATACGCCAACCACCAGACATGTCCTTGGTCTTCTTGTTGATGGTGACCTTGTTGAAACCAAGACCCGTGAGAATCAGGGAGGCACGGGTGTGGAAGGTGGAGGGGTCCATTTTGTCGATTTCCTGTGAACAATTAGCATGATTATTTTTAGTCGACAGGAAACCGGGGGGTGGTAACATACGTCATACAGGTCCATGAGAACGGGGCTGTCAGGACCGACAGTCTCAAGGAGTTCTTCCGCCTTCACTTCCATCCGCGCCATCTGCTGCTCTGCCTGGGTAACAACCCACTCCAGAGCACCAAGCTCGGTAGGAGGAGCACCCTCGTTCAGGAGATAGACATCGATGTGCTCAGGGATGGGGAATTCCCGCGAGGCAATGGCCTTGAGCAGGGTGGACTTTCCGCAACCGTTCTCACCCAAGAGACCGTAGCGACGACCGTAGTTCAGTTCGAGAGTCGAGTCGTTGAACAGGACCTTTCCGTGGAACACCAGCGAGGCGGAAGTGATCTTAACGTCGCGGGAGGATTCCTGCGAGGCGAGGACACCGGTGGTGACACGGTCCGAGAGACCGTGCTTGTCCATCTGAGATGTGAGCTTCTCAACGTCCTTCATCTTCTCGCCGGTGGTGGCGGGTTGCTCGTCGGGGACGTCAGCGTCGAGGGTGTCGCCCTTCTTGGTGGGCTTGCTCTTCTTCTCATCACCACGCTTGGCCATACGGGCAGCCTTGGAAGCAGAGACCATATTGGGCGGATATGAGGGTGTATTAGGGGGAGGTGTGTGTAGACTAAATCGGTAGGAGGAAGGAGAAAGAGGGAAAAGTCTTAAGGCGGGGGCGACTCGAAAAAAAAGGCTTTTAATCCGGTGGCGGAGTAGTGGAAGCCCTTATCGATAACTAGAGTTGGCTGGAATAGTAAGCGCCACAGATAAAGCACTTCTTTCTTTCCACTAGATATAGGAAAGACACACAAGAATGGTTAAGAGATGAGAAGATGAAGAGAAGACGAGAAGAGAGGAAGAAAATTCGAGTGTCTTTGAGAGGACAGAGATGAAAATCCTTCAGTGGGCAGATACTGCTTATTCATTGGTCCAAATAACTCACCGCCTTTGACGTGGCGGCCTTTCCTGATTGGGTATCGAAGTCACGTGCATCCATAGGAGATAAGCCATTTAGTAAACACAGAGCGAGAGATAAGACAAGAGGTATATAAAGATGCTATTCCCCCGACTATCTCAACCGGTGACTGATGGTCTCCAGGACTTCTCGTTCCTCCGCCGTGATCCAAATGTTGTCCGGCATAATCACCTCGTCCCGTCGAATCACTATCTGTATAGGTTGCTCTGATAAGCTCTCTTTCGCGCTACTCGAGCTGGAGATGACCTCGGGTTCTTCATTCTTGGCCTTCTCGACGTCGTCTTCCCGTTTGTGTGACAATGTCACAGGAGTCCACCAGTACGCAGGATACCGTCGTTGAATGTTATTGATCACACACGCTACGGCCACCATGAGTGTCGATTCCAAGGTCACCACGGGTATCAACCACCAGCCCATGCTAGCGCCTTCGGTAACTGCCACTACAGCTGTGGCACCAGCCGGGGGATGCGATGTATTGGTGAGTATCATGACGGCCGTTACGATAGCACAGGCGAGAGGTGCACTGAGTTCCGGCAAGGCTGCTGCGTGAGGATTCAATGCGAATAGCTTGGCGATTCCGACTCCGATGATAGAGGCGATGACTTGTCCAAGAATCGCGTTGCGAGGCTGGGCAAAGGGCGAATCGATCAAGGCGAATTGCAATACTGCCGCGGCTCCCTTCCCAGTGTTAGTCAGTCACAAAATGGCAGGTCTTGGCGATTCAACATACCATACTTGCAATAATCAGTGGCGCATTGTGATGTTCAAAAGACGGCACTCTCATCGACACCGACATGGTCACAGACACACCACAAAACACCCCGATCAATGCCCAGAACGCGATGACCAGGTTACCGATAGCCCGCGGCGACTGGTCACCTCGATATCCGAAGAAATGCGAGATAGGTCGGGGGACCCATCGCCAAGGAGGCGCAGGAATAAACCGATTGAGATAATTGTCGATATCGAAATGCCAACGGGACCAGTCTACCCGGGACTTTGAGGGAGAGTGCGAATGCAGCTCAGGCATCTTGTTGTTATTTAATCTGCCAGCTGTTAACACTGTCGAGCTTTCCGGCCACTCTGTTGTTTTGAATACGTACAGTGGACTCCGTACACAGAGTGTCCAGCATCACCGCATCACCGCATCACCGCATCACGAAGAGACCGGAGAACCAGCAGTTCTTCACCCCCAAAGCCGGAATCTCCTTGCTTTTCTTTCCCCAACTCCTCCGCAGTTGAGTATCTCCGCGGACTATTTATTGCTTATTCAGGTCCGAATAGCCGTGTTTCTCTTTTGGGATTTCCCCTTGACCCGGTTAAGTAACAGAAACTCTCAATCGGGTTTAGCGTGTGATGATGAGATCATCGCGGTGTCCATCGTTAGTTACCTATTTGGGATGCATAATGCACCAATGACAACGCTCTTATTGCATTTAGCCCTGCAGGGCTAGGGCAACTATAACATCTGATAACTAGAGCCATGTTTTAGGAGACATAGATCGTATGTGTCATGTTTGTTCTCTGTGTAGAGCCTATTCACCGCCTCACGATATTGCCGTAGCAGGAGATCATAGAGCTTTATGATCTCTTGCACTGCCAACTTCCTTTCGCCGCTCGATCTATCAAATGCCTCCGCCTTACTATGTAGTGGAGTTTGGGTTGGAGGAATGGGACATGGTTGCTGCTGAGAGTTGCCCTAGCCTCCTAACCATGACTCGCGAGAAGCCATATGGCATAGAAAGTAATGGCCGGTCCAGGTCATGCAAATAATACGACATGAGGATTAGGAGACGATTGACCAGAAACTTCATCATACATATGTGAGAAGTCTGGGGCTACATCTGTTGTTTACACTTCTTCGGCTGTGAAATAGTAGTCTTGCATCAAGAAAAAGTGACGTGGCGATGCTAGTAAATCTTGTCTGATTAGGACAGAGGATGCTGTCTGGAATCAGATACTCCGATTGGTCCAGGTTCATGTCTACTCAGCTTCACTGTCAAGACACGATTATATTGACAGGTACATACCCAGGTAAGCCTGCCTCGTATTTTCCTCGGCCTAATTCAGAGGGTCCACGAACGAAGATGGAGACGCCAAACTCGGCCTTGAGCATCTACAACTCATGTCTTCACGCATACCGAGCAGTGTCCACTGCCATGGAGATGGGCGCCGATTCTGTTATCTGGGATATACGCATGCGGATTGAACTCACGCGATTTGAGGTCTGGGGCCGTACGCTAGGATTCTTTGACGAGAAGACCGGATAGGAAAGGCGGAATGATAAGGATTCGTCTGCCGTTGTTCTAGATTTCATCGATGTCTTTTAAATAGCGGCTGCTTGTGAACTCGTGTAGGATATTCTCATCTCGCTATGCAAGGCTCTAGACGACTTCAAGGATGTAGCGAGCAAGTACCGTTTAGATCCAACGAGGCGCTCGCTCGACACAACAAAGAACAACAGAAGACTCGATACTCAGCTTAAGCGCGTGTGGGCTTCGATAAAAGACCTTGGTCCACATCTTTTCCTAACAATAGAAGACAAAGATAAGATCCGAAACCTGCTACAGGTCTTGACTGGCCTCAACGATGGGCTCGAGAAAGTGGTATCAATTGCCCAAAAGGCACGGGCAGCGAGATCCTTGGCTTCTCGGGTTCTCTCCAAATACTAGAAACTAACAAAATTAGATGTCCTTGTCGGTCAAGCTGAAGGCTCCGAGGAACAAAGAGAGTCCGCCATTATACCGCGTCAGCACGAGGCATTCAGTGCGACAGCAAAGATAAAGCAACTCATTTGCCTGTCTCAAAACGGTGAGGCACCCGCCATCGGTAGCTTTGAGCTCTCTAAGGACCAGTTCAGCGCGCCCGCAGACATGACCTCTTCGCGCAGATACTTGCCAGGTATACGTCCGACAACAGCTCGCCCTGCGTGACTCTCATCGAGTGGCGATTAGCATCATTTGCATGGTGGCCCGGAAATAATACAACGGCTGATCTTGTTGAACGGCGCAATGCCATTGTCGTCCTACTCCAAGAGATTAGTAATCTTTCTCATGATGCTGGTCCAACTTGTGGCGTGCTCGACTGCTTGGGCTGGTTTACCCGGGACCTCGGCAGAGCCCGCTAGTCGGCTTTGCCTGCAAACTGCCCACTTGGGCCGACAAAAGCAGACCTCCTGTCTCTCTATTTACGCTAATTAAGAATGCCAAGGAAGACGACGGTTCCAGCACTCCGAGCTTACGAACGAGATTCTGTCTCGCTCGTGCGCCGGCTCAGGCTGTTTATCAACTCCAGTGCAGCCAGTGGCTGCATCGGACACTGGGAAGTCACCAAATTATCTTCTATGATGCTGAGAGTGCGGATCTCCGACTCGATGCGCCTTTTCTGAGCGGGCTACAGCACTCGCGGCCGGATGACCAACTTGTGGATGGGAAGGACGGTGACAGGGATATTTCGAAAGGGAAGGCGGAGGCTAAGGGGCCAATGACGTCTATAGTCTCGGAGTCACGCTGTTCGAGATCGCAAACTGGGAGATAGCCATCTCATACAGCAAGGTTGGCATGGATGCCGCGGATGGAGCAAAGCGAATTTTATGGGCTGCCAAAAAGGATCTTGCTGCAGACGTGGGAGAGATATATCAACAAGCTGTGGTCACTTGTTTGAAAGGACTGCGGTCCGCAGTATGTATCTTTGAAGATTCCTGTGTGGGGAGTGAGGCAAACGGGTATGACGGCATTTATCGCGGTGAGGATCCTGAATATGGCCTGGAGAGCGATCTCCTTTGGAAGGTTGTGAGGCAGCTTGAGAAGCTGCTGGTTTGACGGGCAAAATTTGCAGGCGGGCCACGGAACAGTGAACTGACTTTCCTCCCTCTGACTACAAGCCCGCAAAGGTCTCGTGTTGAAGGCCTAGATACAGGAATAAGATTTCCAGCTATCCATAGCTATTTACGCACATAAACACATCGTCAGTTTCGTGTCCTAGGACAAAAACCGTGCCAATAGCAATGGCTATTTCCATTGAGCCCTACGAGGCTACATGTAGGCCCCAATAATCTATTACTACGTACCTTAGGGCCCAAACAGCAAACCTCGTATACTCACCACGCTTATCATCTTTTACACCGCCGATCCATCGGCCGAATCCACTCAGCCAACTTTATCTTCTCTATACGAGGTAATTTAACTGTAAAAAGAAAAAATAAGCCGTGTACCCAACGTGGCATCTGTCAAATCGGCCATAAGCGTTATGTACAGCCCGAAGGTACAATATAAACAGGATCGAGTCCAACGTTGTTTTTACCTCCTTCTATGTGACATACCCAACGATAATTCGAGATGCGGCTCTATATCACTTGTGTGATCATTGCCATCCTGGCTGCAGTGGTTACTACAAGCCCTACGCCACACGCCTTGGATGAGGTTGACGTCCTAGCCAACGATGCACTAGCTAACCTGATTGCCTATGAACGGTCACACGGAGACTCGAACAAAATATGTACCCTTCAAAATGCCACGTTCCGGCGAGAATGGTGAGTTGCTCCGTTATTACATCACTTTCCAGCCACTGACTCGTGAACAGGGGATCTCTCAGTTTAATGGAGAGAAAAAAGTACACCGATGCAATGCTATGCCTAATGTCCGAACCACCAAAGCTTGCATCCAAAGACGCACCAGGTATCCGCAACCGATTCGACGATTTTGTATCTGTTCATATAAGGCAGACTCCAACTATCCACGCCACAGTACGTGCACACCCTATACATTCCCATAAATACAGCACTAACAAAACAGGGCAACTTCCTAACATGGCACTGCTACTACACCTGGATATTCGAACAAGCACTATCAAAACTGAAGATATCTGCAAATTACTTGGGATGCCCATTTCTACACGCACCGTTGCACGCATGTTAAAAGAATCTGGGTATGGCCACTGGAGAGCACAAAAAAGACCTCAGTTAACTGAGGAAATAGTTAAACTACGCTATGAATGGGCATACATGCGCAAGGATTGGACATATGAGCAGTGGAGCAAGATTATATGGAGTGATGAATGCTCTGTTGAGCTTGGCAAAGGGAAGAAGAATCAATGGGTATGGCGGCTCAACCACTTCAATGAAAAATGGGAGAAAAAAGCATATCATTCCATACACCAAAAGCAAAGGAATATCTATCATGATTTGGGCAGCGATCTGGGGTGGTGGCCATACTGAAATCTATCGAATGAGTCGGGATGAGGAATCTGCTCGAAGAGGGTATTCTTCACGCTCCTATTTGGAAATTATTGAGGATTATCTACCTGTTATATGGGAATCTGGTATGGAATTCATGCAAGATAATGCTCCCATACATACAGCCAATATTATTAAGAATTGGTTTGATGAGCATGGTATTTCTCTTGTTGACTG